GACCTGTACAAGACATCCTTCATGGCGCGCATATCCGCTTGCAGCCTGTTGTTATGCTCTCGCGCCTGTTGTAGTACTATCTGCCGGCTGCTGCTGTATTGTGGGCCTTATTCCTACGGCAATAGAGTTCACAATGACCTGTAGAGCACGTCCTGAGGATTTGCTCGCGCGCTAGCTGCATTTGCTTTATTCCTGTGGCAGTATGTGTCTTATTCCTATGGCAATAGAGTCTACAACCGACCTGTATAAGACATCCTTCATGGCGCGCATATCCGCTTGCAGCCTGTGGTTCTGCTCTCGCTCCTGCTGTATTAAGTGCCTTATTCCCACGGAAATAGAGTTCACATTGACCTGTAGAGCACGTCCTTCATTGCAGCCTGAGGGTCTGCTCTTCGTGCTTTATTCCTGTGGCAATATGTGTCTTATTCCTATGACAATAGAGTCTACAACCGACCTGTACAAGACATCCTTCATGGCGCGCATGTCCGCTTGTAGCCTGTGGTTCTGCTCTCGCGCCTGTTGCAGCACTATCTGGCGGCTGCTGCTGTATTATGTGTCTTATTTCATGCAGACTGCTGTATTGTGTGCCTTATTCCTATGGCAATAGAGTTCACATTGACCTGTAGAGCACGTCCTTCATTGCAGCCTGAGGGTCTTCTGGCGCGCCAGCTGCATTTCGTGCTGTGGCAATATGTGTCTTATTCCTATAGCTATAGAGTTCACAATGACCTGTAGAGCACGTCCTTCATAGCGCGCATGTCCGCTTGCAGCCTGTGGTTCTGCTCGCGCGCCTGTTGTAGCACTATCTGCCGGCTGCTGCTGTATTGTGTGCCTTATTCCTATGACAATAGAGTTCACATTGACCTGTAGAGCACGTCCTTCATTGTAGCCTGAGGATCTGCTCTTCATGCTTTATTCCTGTGGCAATATGTGTCTTATTTCATACAGACTGCTGCATTCTGTGCCTTATTCCTATGACAATAGAGTTCACAACCGACCTGTAGAGCACGTCCTTCATAGCGCGCATATCTGCTTGTAGCCTGTGGTTCTGCTCGCGCGCCTGTTGCAGCACTATCTGCCGGCTGCTGCAGCTCATACAAACTTCCACAAGTGGGATGGCCGCGGACTGCTGAGGGAAGTCTGGGAATATATCGTAATCATCATCATCACGAAATACATATAATAAAATACCCTTATGTCCAAAGGTACTACAAGGTTCAAGACTGTATTATTAATAACAAGGATGCGTGATCAGTTTAGTCTGCACATACTCGTATTTGACGTTCCTACTTGCATTTGGCTTGACAATAATTACTGGCAAATAGTGGTGACTGAGTTTGTTCCGGCGTTTCTTCTCAGCACTTGCCATGTGTTTGTCTCGAAGCGCTGGTAGGGCCCAAAAGATAATTAGTTTTTCCACAACGACCAGTCAGTCTATAACTGTATGCCTAGGATGCGCGCCGGTCTTTGTGAAAATCCTTGGAAGATACTTCAAATCAAATCAAATCATTTATCCAAACATGTGATTTATTTATACTTTTGTCCAAACATGTGGTTGAAACAAACGTGTTTTTGAAAGCATTCACATGTAAAGAACATTACGGACTAAGTGCTAAGTTTTAAACTATTATGTTGCATTTTTTACTATAAAATTATATTGTTGCAATAAATCCCGTGAAGTGATAATTTTATAAGTACTAAGTTTCTTAAAAAGTTTAAAACGAAAAAAGTAGTAACTCCTGCACAAACTGTAAAAGCAATTATACTTTATTGTTACTAGTAGTGTAATTTTAAACATCAGGCTGCAAGTAACAATACAGTCAGCGTCAAATAGTCTGTGACGCTCAAAGTAGTCAAAAAGTTTGCAACACGTCTTTGTAACAATGATCGTTTTTATACTTAACAGTTGGCACCCCTGGCGATTGACAGGACCTTACTCTACAGTGGCGCCATCTTGATGAGTGCAAATGCGATAGTCCTCGTACCACTTTAGCGCTCACCAGTTGGTGCCACTGTCTTCGCTACTAGCAAGTGACAGGACCTTACTCTACAGTAGCGCTAACTGGTGAGCGCTAAAACGATAGCCCTCATAGGAATAAGGTTGTGTTATCAACTTTTTGGTCACTTTGAGTGTCATTATATTTGACGCTGCTGTACCACAATTATTCAATTAAGTACCGAAATAAATTCTTACCTCTATCAGGAACTTCAAACCGCTTCACCTTCTCTTCCAACTCTTTACAATTGCTTTCTAACTCCTTATTCTTCTCCCTTTCATCTTTGAGAGCCTGCTTGCACTCGTCAACGTAGTTGACCAATGTGGTGTACTGGGTCTTTAGTTGATCGTTCTCTTCCGCAAAGAGTTTGTTGTATTCGAGTACAGTTTTCAGCTTCTCTTTCAGTTTTGATATAGCGGAGTCCTTTTCTGATATCTGAAGGCAAGAAATACGTTTTCAACCGACTTCAAAAAAGGAGGAGGTTCTCAATTCGACCCGTATGTTTTTTTTTTTTTTCTATGTTTGTTACGCGATAACTCCGCCAATTATGAACCGATTTGAACAAATCTTTTTTCGGCGTATAGGTAATACCTCAAGGGTGGTCCCATTTAAATTTAATAATAGAAAAAACAACCCCCAAGGGTGGAAAATTGGGGATGAACTTTTTTATACGCAATATCTCCGCCGATTATAAATCAATTTGAACGATTATTGTTTTGTTGAATAGGTATTATCAAAAGGGTGGTTTCATGCGAATTTGAAGAAAATATTTCACCCCCAAGGGTGGAAAATTGGGGATGAACTTTTTTATACGCAATGTTTATAATTTTTAGTTTTTTTTTTGTGTTCACGCATTTGAAGTCGGTTTTATTTTTTTAAAAAGTTATTATAAGAAAAAAGGTGAAGGTCGCGGGAGGTGCCTGGATGCGGGCAGCGCAGGACTGGTCGTTGTGGAAATCCTTGGGGGAGGCCTTAGTCCAGCAGTGGAGCCAATGGACGTCATATGGCTGAAACGAATGAACGAATAAGAAATAAAACCACCATAATATTATGTTATGTAGTATCAATATACATACATCTACAACTTAACATAAGCTTCTTTTTAACCAAGGCAAAACTCTTAACAGTTTCTAATTACTTTCAAGAAGCTCCTAGAGAATATAGTCAACAGTAGGTACAGACTAGTACTTTTACATGTTCATTGTAAAATCGCCCCTATCACAACTAAATAAGATGCCACAGTGTTGATATTATGTATTCTGTGGTTGATGTGTCATCATCGGTATTATTAATAACATAGAAAATAAATTACCATAACAACATTCTCCTCACACCTGTCCATTAGCGTTATGATGAGGCTCTCATACTTCTTAGTGAGTTTCTTCTTCTGTTCTCGCAGAAGAGACTTCCCTTCTTTGCTCAATCTGGGGGAGGTAACAGCGATACCTTGCAGATTACGCTTTCGAGGCGGCTTGGCTGGTTTCTGACCTGAAAATTATTAATTAACAAAATGTAATTTCTCTCTCCGACGGTCCGGCGGAGGTGGACCGACGACATCATAAAGGTAGCAGAAAGGCGCTGGACGCAGGCCGCTACCAATCGATCAACATGGAAATTTTTGGGGGAAGCCTTTTCAGCAGTGGACGTCAGGCTGAAATGATGATGATGAGTTTCTCTCTCCCTCTCTCAGGGTTGTCTTGTAATTTGTTGACTTTTGAATTTCATTATTATGTCAGTTTTAAGAGGGTAAAACGGGATCCACGCGTACGAAGTCACGGGCAGCTGCAAGTTTTTATAATAAGTGTAATAACCAAAATTTTGAATCTTATGTAAATATAATGGGAGCTAGCTAAGCTAGGATAGTTTTAATAATTTATAATTGTTATTAATAATCAAGAATGATGTGTGGGTACTCACCAATGACATCTCTCGGGTCCTCATACATAGGGTTATCGTCAAACTCCGGTTGGTCATCGAGGTGCTCCATCACCGACTCGGTCCTCTTCAAAACTGTGTTCATGATGTCTTTGCGCATGCTCACACGTCTCTCTGGAGAATTTATGTCGAATATTTTGTGGTCTTTAGAGAAGTTTCCGGAGAATGTTAACTTCTCAGGACTTTGAATATTTGAGCATTTTTTGAACACTTTTCCATAGTCAACATGCTGAAATATACATATTATAGACAATAGGTCATTGCTTTTAAGGAAATCAGCTCAGATCCTTTGTTATAAATAGATTAATATCTAACATCAAATGATACTATTACCTTTATGTTGTGTTTTGTAAGATTTCCACTATCCATTGTCAGCTACCAGACGTAGAACGTAACATTTTGTGGCTCGCGCTGTACTTTTACTTACAAGAAATGCAACCAAATATGTTCGGCCTGTCACGGATAGATAGCGTGTTCTGGGTCACAAAACGTACGAATTAAGTAGGTCAATATTGTGAACAGCCCAATAAAACAAACTTTAATCACTTTGGAATCCTATTGACAAAACTTTGCGATCTTGGTAAGGTTATTAACAACTGCATTTATTTCACATTTAAAAAGTAATTATCTCTTTTAGCCTGTAAAGTATCAAACCGGTAGCACTACCATCAGTAAAATTATTGATTATTACACCAAATTCAACACGAATCACGAAGAGAACGACACACGAAGGTTCAGTCAAAAAATATAAACATTGCCGGTTTGACACTTGGTTGCCATGGAAACTGGGATACCACTTTATGTCGAGTTTTACAAAATGCTGCCATACTAATTAATATCATTACTATAATAAAAATAGTACAAGTTTTATGTGTGAATAGATGATAGAGTATTGTTGAAAATATCACTACTTTACAAGAGCAACACATTGTTTCATTTTGCCGATCCTAGATAATGAATGAATAGACTAATAGTCTTATAAGTATATTGATTTAAAAAGAAATTTTAATATAAAAAATACTTACAAGTGTGTATTTCATGTTGATGCGTTTGACTGAGAACTTCAAAATGCCGTCCACTGCGTGTACGTTACCCCAGCTGGAAAGTAGCTCCTAGAGTGATATGAGTAGAACGTATAATTAGTTCCCAACATGGTGTAAATGTGCGCCGAATTAGAGATTAGTGCGTGCTGTCGTTTTGGTACAAAACGAAAAAAACGATTCCTGCTGGAGTAACGTTGTTCTAGCAGGAAAATTATAAACGAATGATCGGAAAGAGAAAAACTGTGTACGAGCAGATAGCTTATATTTGTTCTATTATGTGAGCTGAAAATGTGATTTGTGCGTCTTCAGGTTTTCGAGATATTGCATTTCCTGCCAGGGTAACGTTTTGCAGAATGCTCTATCTCAATAACCGTTATATGTGCGCCTATAGAATAAACACACACGAGTAGCTCTTGATTTGTGCGTATATGTGAACTCGATGGCACAAAATGGTGTTGAAATGACGCTATTTGACCGCAATGATCAGAATTAACAAAATTTATTATTGATTTCTCTAGCACTAAGCAGTTACAGAATATATTGTCTAAGCAAGTAGCTGATGTTGGAGTCACCCTAGTTGGTTCAGAGAAAAGATTTAACAAGTTAAAAGATTTGAATAAATTTAAAAACCGTATTGAAAGAGAGGAATCTTCTATTATATTGATATTAAAGTCTCCACATACAACTACTTTCTTTGAACTATTACACACTCTTCTAAGTACCTCTTCCATTGTGGTTTCAAATAATTCATAGTTACTAGATGGGGGTCTATATACACATACAATAACATAGTCGTCCAGTTCTGCACATGACAGCTCAATAGTTCGCTCAACAGAGTTAATACTGGGACGTGTGTAAAAGTGCTTTTTTAAAGCCTACTTACAGAAATAAATGAGTTTTACTGAGTTTTATCCAGAATTCATAGCTACGAGTAAGTTTGCACTTTATTACTTAGGTACTGAAGGGAAGTTTATTTATGCTAAGGATAATTCTTTAAAATTTTGTCATAGGTTTTAGAGAAATTTACTTTTACAACTCTGTCTCCCCTAAAGTGCAAACTTGCTCGCAGTTGTCTATGGATCATAGTTCAGTTACATACCTTATGTACAGTGCTTCGTGACTGCTGCGGTGGGCATCAACATCATCGGGCATGGCTGCGTGCTGGGCTTCCCAGCGATCCTGCTGCCGCAGCTGCGTGAGCCTTCCTCGCCCATCCAGCTCACCAAGGAGCAGGAGTCTTGGATAGGTAGGCTGGTTGATACATTTCATACTTGAACAGTTTTCTTCTTATTCAAAGTCTGAGAATATCTTCTTCGTCGCTACACTCTTTCCAAAGTGGTCGTGGTCGTCACACCAGGTCCGGTGGCAAGCCTCACAATCCGTCGCCATTCCTCCCGCACTGCAATCTTTCTTTAACCTTAAGCCATGAACAGTTTTAGCCTGTAAGATAAGAAAGACAGAACTTGAATACCTACTTAACTGGCTGATTGACTTGTCGTGCTAACTTACTTCGTCTTATGATGAATTTGAAACTTCAGTGAAGGTGAGTCAGTACGCAGAAATGATGGCAGATGGGGCAGGGAAAACACCAAAATGTGGACCGACCTCATAAAGCAGTGCAGGAAGGCGCTGGATGCAGGCCGCTACCAACCGCGCGATATGGAAATCATTGGGGGAGGCCTATGTTCAGCAGTGCACGTCCTGTGCCTAAAATGATGATGATGATGATGAACCGTCTAAATATGTATGAAACCGTTAAACACGAACCTTTATTTTTATACCACATGTTGGAGCTACTTGAGCGCTTTCACATTAGGGCGTCAGAAGCGCGACAACAGCGCGGCAGCAGCGTTTTTATAATGTGAAGGCATGCATCCGCTGTCACATATAAAATTTTCGCGTTAGTCGCGCTGTTAAATCGCCTAAATGTGAAAGCGCTCTTAAGTTTCAGCTGGACTGCTCAAACTTAAGTAACTCCAATGTTTCGAATATCTTTCCAGCATCAATCACCGGCATCGTAATGATGGCGGGTGCCTTCATCATGCTTCACCTCATGAGCTGCAGCCGCAAGACCGCGCACTACGCTGTCATCGCGCCCGTCGCTATTGGCTGGGCCATCACCATCGCTGCCACTAGCTTTCAGGTGACGTACCCCTTCATTTATCAAATTAGGTACCTATTATTATTGGTCTGCAGCCGCAAGACCGTGCACTACGCCGTCATCGCGCCCGTCACGATTGGATGGACTATCACCATCGCTGCCACTAGCTTTCAGGTGACATTCCCTTTCATTTATTAAACTTAACTATATTACTTAATGAGCTGCAGCTGCAAGACCGCGCACTACGCCGTCATCGGGCCCGTCGCTATTGGCTGGGCCATCACCATCGCTGCCACTAGCTTTCAGGTGACGTACCCTTTCATTTATTAAATTAGGTACCTATTATTATTGGTCTGCAGCCGCAAGACCGCGCACTACGCCGTCATCGCGCCCGTCACGATTGGATGGACTATCACCATCGCTGCCACTAGCTTTCAGGTGACATTCCCTTTCATTTATTAAACTTAACTACACTCGGCATCAAATAAATCGCACCTCCCGCGACAAGCACTTATCAAACGTATGCATCCCCACTTTCCTTCCACCAACATTGATACTAGAGATGAAACGGATATCCGGTAACTATCCGGTAGGCCGGATATCCGGCCTAAATTTACTATCCGGCCGGATACCGGATATTAAAAAACTATGACATTTTCCTATTCATAAAATTAAATTACATTAATCTTTGAGGTAAATATCAATAAAATGGCTTATCATAATGACTGCTTTTATTTAAAGTCCAAAAAGTTACAAAAGCCATATTAAGGCCGTTCAAAAAACTAATTTCTCTTTCTGGGCGTGAGTGAATAACTCTAATGACGAATACATAAATAATAAATATCTGTAAATGTCGAAATATTGCCAAATAAAAAAGGCGATCTTTTTTTCACTGATGGTCTGATGACGATGAGGCGATCTTTTTTTCACTGATGCAGTTCAGTCAGATTACGCAACTAGTAAACTAATTTAATTTTCGCTATTCAATCACACACTTACGATAGCAACCGAAATCGCCCGAATTGATCTGCCTGCCCCCTAGAAAAGTGACAAAATCTGACATTCTATTCGGACGGATTCGATTTTCGAAAAGTGTGACTAGTCTAGTCTACTATCGCGTTCAAAGCACCTGTGCGGCACTAAACTCGTCACGACATGCAACGAGACAATGGGCCAACTATCCGGCCGCCGGATATCCGGCTATCCGGCCTAGCAGCAGGCCGGATATCCGGTATCCGGTATCCGGCCAAACAACTATCCGTTTCATCTCTAATTGATACCATTTGAAAATCTAGTTCATAACTTCATTTCATTAAAGGAAAGGTTTTTACCCCAAAAATGTGTCTTTAGAAGGATCCAGAGTCACTTTTTCAAAAAATAGGTAGTTACGCCAACCTTTATGACTATAAAACTGTTAAATTGGGATTAATTGCTATCTATCTGTTAAAAAGGACACGTAAGATCATTATTTGGTTTTATAACCACAAAAATTGGTCTACTTGGGCCCATAGATGAGCCCCAACTGAGGCTTTTTTCAAGTCACATTTATGGTACCTGTTAATTGTTTATAAAAAAATTAAATGTGTTTTTCTTTAAGTTTGTTTATTGGGCTTTCAAATAACACCAATATTGTTGGGGCACCATGATTGTGTCAGAAGAAAATCTTTAAAGTTCGCGTCGCGGAAGGTGCGGTTTACTTGATGTTGAGTGTATTAATGAGCTGCAGCCGCAAGACCGCGCACTACGCCATCATCGCGCCCGTCGCCATCGGCTGGGCCATCACCATCGCTGCCACTAGCTTTCAGGTGCCGTACCGTTTTACTTTTGGTAATTTTAATATCTTTGTTTCAATGTAGTGCCTTCCACTGCTGGACCAAGGCCTCCCCCCCAAGAATTTCCATAAACCATTTCTTGTAGCTTTACCGTTTGCATTTTTCCATTACTCTCTTATGGTTTGCAAGTATTATTTACCTACTTCAATGCGTAGGAGTGAGGGAGAAATATCATCGCACTTACCTATGTCAAAACTGTATTAAATAACTTCATTTGAATTTTATTGCTTCTGAGTCTGCTCACTCAACTTTCTGCAAAAACCATCGACGGTTGACGTCAATTAACATACTAATTATTCGATTAATAGTCGGCAATAGGCATTATGTGCCTGATTAGCCAAGAAAGGAGGAAAACTTTAATCACATTGAGAGATTCAATACTTTACTTAGTTTTTTATTGTTTAAAAATGTCTCTTTATCTTTCCAGGCAATATTCATCGGAAGGATGCTCTGCGGATTATCTTTCGGAATGCTCTACCCTCTCCGCTCCGTCCTGATCGGAGAATACACCAGCCCCAAGAACCGAGGGGCTTTCCTGACAACGGTGTCCCTCGCGCAAGCGTTTGGCATCTTCTTCGTCCATCTGCTCGGCTCTCTACTCAGCTGGAAGACCACCGCTATCATCTGCATGTTCTTCTCAATTATCAGCTTCGCTATGACAATATATTGCCCCGAATCTCCCAGCTGGCTGGCCTCCAAAGGACGGTATGACGATTGCAGAAAAGTCTTTAAGTGGATGAGAGGTGATGACGAAGATGAAGAGCTAGAAGCCATGATCCATGCCAGAATTCTGATGGAAAAGAAAACCATCGGTGAAAGCGTTAGACAGAATCGCTTGAAAAGTATCAGAGACACCATAAAGAAGAGGGAATTTTATTTGCCGATCATTGTAATGATCCACGCGAATGCCATGCTCCAGTTTTCTGGTGGAACGACGATGGCAGCTTACTGCACGAAGATTTTAACTCATCTCATGGGACCCGGAGCGAACATTCACCTCTGGATGGTTGTGCTAGATATTCAAAGAATCGTGTCAAATTCTGCAGCAGTTTATGTCATCAATAGAGCTAAAAGACGCACCATGATGTTTGCTACAGGCGGTATAAGCGTTTGCAGCCATCTGGCGATTGCTGTTTATGTGTATTCCAGAAACAAGAATTGGATATCAGGAGAAAGCGTTGTGTTGCCAGCAATTCTCATCAATCTTCTATATTTTGCTGTTTCAACCGGAACGGTTCCTCTCCCGAACGTCATTGCAGGCGAGGTATTCCCGCTGGAGTACAAAGGCATAGGTGGAATGATAAGCATGGTCTCTTTATCTGGGTGCATGTTCCTTGTCCTCAAAACGTTCCCTGGATTGGTGGATAGTGTGGGACTGAATGGAACGTACTTGATCTTTGCCGCAGTTCTGTTTTACAACCTTGTTGTCGTTTGGTTCACGCTGCCCGAGACGAAAGGAAGAACTTTGCAGGAGATTGAAGACGAGTTCAGAGGGAAACCGTTGGCTCCCGAAGAGATTGAAGTGAGGAAATCTATGCAAGCAGATCCTGTGATGATTTTCAAGAGGAAGGAGTCAGAATGGACTGGCAGCGCAGGGTTTTTGAACGAGTGAGGTACAGAATATTCGGCTAATCTCAGCTGTGCCGGATCACGTACCTACTCTTATAACACGCGTCACAAGTTGATACCAAAATACTCAAAATATGTTAAGCCAAGATGACACGATAAGATGACCTTATCTGTTACTTGCGTTACGTATTTAGTTTAAAGATGATTTATCTTTGTTTTTTGTATGCTACGAGTTGATATCATCTTTCTTAGCTCGGATGGAGTATGACGATAGACAAAAGAAGGCTGTTGACATATACACTGCCACTTTTTCAGGGCATCGTGACCAAATGAGTTAGACGATAGATGAGTTACGAATCCGAGTTCTCTTTTTTCTATTGTTTGTAAACACCTTTTCTCTAATCTTTTTATAGTCTCAAGGGAAACATGGGTATATTTTCCGTAACACCATACATATCATTTGCTTTTGATTGTTACTAATTTCAAACCATTAACTTACATCAATTTTACCATTTCCAATATCCGAATAGGGACCTGTTAAATAAAACCACAAAGTATTTTTCTATAATATTCTATATTATTTGGTACACAACAGTCGCCCTGTCCAACCATACGTGGTGAGCTAGCCAGTAACGGTCGCAATGGCGACAAAATTTGGAAAATGTACAATTTAATACAAAATTTGCTATACAAATGGTCGCGGTGTCTCCAGTATAGTTGCACAGGCGATGTTCGCTACACTCTGTACACGTTTCATACATGGGTTCAGCTTCAGATCAGACCGGGTTGTGATCGTAATCGAATCGAGATCGCATCGATTGTAATTAACAAATCCGATTTTTTATTGTCAGATAAAATGTAGATAAGAGTTGTAAAAACCCTATCATCATATTGATTTGGCCGAATGTGATTTATCTGACTACAAAATATCAGATCTCATGTGAACAATTTATCAAATTAGAACTTCCTATCGCTATAAATTTACTACCGAGGCCATTGATAAGAAAAATTATTCACTCAAAAATTTTATAGAAAAAACTATGACACCCTATAATTGGAGGGTGACGAACTAATCTTGATACTTGAACGAAACAGAAACGATCTCGAGTCGATCCGACCGCATGACAATTCGATCGGACAGCGCGCCCGGGGGCAGAGATCAAACGAACGGGTAATAAAAGGCCAGGTGACTCGCTACTTACAATTTAACAGCCAATTTCTTAAATGGCATGGTTTCTTACACAAAATAAAAAAAATAGTTGTCTAAAAACAACTGTCTGTCAACAACGCAAAAACGTAACAATATTGACTATTCTCACACCAATAAGAACTAGAACAGATTAGCAAACAAGATTTGTCGTTAAGGATCAAACATACTTGCTCCTTGTATTCGATATAACACGATGCAACATTCGTACTCGTACAAATTAGAAAACTCTTTATTTTAATGATGTGTAAGAAACCGCGCCAGCACAAAACCTAAATCTATAACAATCCAAAACTTTTAAATTTAATAAAAAAAACTTGGACTAAATTAAGAAATGGCTCGCGGCATCCGCCGTGGTTACCTGTACATAAATAAAAGCTTTCTTTTTTAAGCGTTTAAGTTCATTTTCGCTTACAAAAGAATTGTCATTGGGCTCGGAATAAACAGCGATCGAATATATTAGTGGAAATCTATATAAAGCCTCCTAATCACGAGTCAACATTAAAATATAGTTTTTAACATCACATTTAATACATTACAGATGTCTAAATATCAATGCTGATTGATTAAGAATTGATATTACGAGAAACTAAAACATATTAAACGATATAAACGTGTATTACATTTACTTAGAAAGATTAATGTAACTTATTTAAGTTAAGCAATCAAAATTAGATCTATGTATAGTATAGTCGATTTAAGCTGAAAAGGCCATACAAAATGTAAAAAATAATCTATCCGTACAATAAATTATTACCAAGTACCAGAAATATAAGTATTACACCGTATAAAGTGTTTTCTTCGTGACACAAGACTTTAATACCAACTTCCACTGTTCTGATTCTGATACTCTCGTTTGCCACACCCTACGTTACGACGAACCGCCAAAGCTCTTATTTTATTACACTAACAATGATGCGCACACGCGCAAATATACAACACTGCTACATATTTACAAATTCAATACAAAATATCTTTCATTCTTAAATCATAACTGAAAACGCACCAACAATACTTCAAGTCGAATTTATGAGTGTTGGTGCGTGAGAGGATGCCTTAACGGTTAAGGCTCCTACACACAGCTGCGATTCTGTTTCATGATGTATATTTTTAATAGAAGGCTAAGAAGCGAAACTTTGTGTAAGAGCCTTAAGACTTATCTGACAGATAACTTGTATCCAAAGTGCAACTAAAACTAATGCGTCAATAAAAACACATTTCCACACTAGATATTATAACTTAATATAAACAATGAGTCTTAAAAAGCGTGTCCAAGTCGAAGCAGCGGCTAATACTTCATTAAGAAGGGCCAGTGTTAAACTGTAGTAACTAAAATTAGCTGCGCCGACTTGGAACTTAAACAATGCAAATGTTCGCGAGCTCCGCGAACGCTCATCCGCACGTCACTCCTTAATCTATCAGTTTCTTCGAATTGTCCAAATACTTTTTTTTTCGAATTTCGTCTAAGTATTTTAATAAAACTTTCACATTTTAAAAAAATATTTACAAAAATCTGTCGAATACCGTTTCACGTCACTCGTAAGTTGCAAAAGAACTACAGAACCCGTCGGAAAATGATACAAAATGATCTTAAGAAAGAGAGAGACAGCTAATTCGATGCCTCCATATCACAATACATAAATCTGGCCTCGATTAAGTCTAAAATATAGCTCTCTTTCTCAAAACCAATGTGTATTACTTACCTGACGGGTAAACGCTAAGTTTTACATAAAAATCGCGAAAGTTATTGCTATACCAAGTAAGCTCTGTTGTAGGATAGAGATGCTAATCGCTTTTACAAGACAATGGCTATTTTCCCATTCGAATTTAAACCTTATTAAGATCCAAAAACAATGGAAAATTTGAATTAGCTATGTAAAGGTAAAAACATGGTAATGCCAGCCTAAATACCTCGATTGGTATATCAAAAATATATTTGGCTGGCAACATAAAAATTGAACGCAGCAGCGATGTAGGCATGAAATGATATTTTAACTTTATTTTTCAAGCGCCGACTGTTAACTTGCAATGACCTTCTATTAATCACTATAGTTGAATGTAACAACATTTATAACACTGAAATGCTAAGACTTGACACTAACAGTCATTCATTTGTGACACAAAACGGCGTTAACTCCTCTGGAGGCCACTTTTATGGGCTAAAGAGCTAAATATAAAAAAGGAAAATTACAGATTGCGTTCAAATAGATATTAGACAAAGAGATTTAAAAAATAACTAACTCATGCACTTGGTTAACGTTAGGCCGGGTACAGACAAGTGTAACGCGTAATGGAATGTATCGTGTAATGTAATGTAATAGTATGGGCAGCACTTTACATGTAATGCTCGTAGTGCCGTCCACACGTAGAATTCGTGTAACATTACACGGTGGATTACATTACACATTACACCCGTCTGAACCCGGCTTTACATTAAAATGAAATGCTCAAATCAGTCGCCAGCTTCATTTTTATCTCAAAACACGTGAGATGAGTATGCGCTCAGTTCTTCAAGCAGGATTTAAATTATTAAGAATACAATATAAAAGAGCACGCGATATATGCCACAAGCAAATGACTGACAGATCTGTAATATCGATTCAGATCTAGGTTAGCGTCAAAACTGATGGATAGGGGCACTACTACATCAATGTAACATGTAATTACAACGCCGATTGGCGTTTTGAACGACAATGATATTAACTATTGAAAAAATATTTGCAATCTACGCAGATCAAAAAGGGATGTTTTCTCTCGCTCACTCGTTATAGTGTGCAAGCGAGATGTAATTATACATGACGTCACTTTAATCCCATTTATGAACTACGCACGCGCAGGTAAGTCTGTCACTTTGCACATAACAAAATGTAAATAAAATATTGCATTTTCTACTACTGTTTTGTACAAAATGATGACTCGTTCCCCTAAATGTAAACACTGATCAAACAACACTTATAACGTGATAAAATTCTATAACAACTGCAATAAACGATACCCGATTGAAACCAATTAACTACTTAATTAGCAACGAAATACCGCATCAGCTGATCAAGAAATCGTAGTTCGCTCGATGTATCCGAAAAGTCGCGCCTGAGTTGCCATATTTTCTTATTATAATTCCGAGTATTCTATTTCATAATGCTATCCTTTTTGTACTTTACGCGTGAAAGGAACAACAATATTTCGAGCTGTCAAAATTTTGAGAATGCCAAACTTGTCATTGCCAAACGTTTTAAAGGTTAATCGAAATTCCTTGTAAGCTTCACAGCAATATTTTGTGGCATGTTCTTGTATTTCAACAAAAACTAAATGTTAGGTCTCCTGTAGTTTGTCACCATCCAAATTCAAATTATCTATAATTTATTTCATTGGCACGGAAACCTCAACCGTATCAGCATTGTCTATGAAATTAAGCTAGCCATATTAATAGCACAGTAGATATATGAGCTAAAGCAGTACGGAAACTTAGCCGTTTCGGCGAGTTAAATACCTACACTTCAACTGAGTATTAGGGTTGGCACTCTTAATCTTTATAAAATTAATAAGGTTCTGACTCACTTATTTATTAAAACGTTTATTTAGGTTTTTTAATTATCAAATACCTAATGGAATAAATTAATTGACTAAGTAGTTAACAAAAAAATAAAACGTTAATTAGGTTCTATAATGATCGAATACATAATGGAATAAATTGATTAAGTACTATTAGAGGCCGGTAGAAGATATTCTATTCTCATAAATAAAATACCGGATACTTACTTTCACATAGCTATTGCCTCATTTTAAATACAGTTCATCACTTAGTACAAAAGCGCGCGGAGCAAATTACTTTATCAAATAGAACACATAAATTGTTAAAAAGCGTAATTACGTAATTTAAAAAGAACTATTACAAAATCAGATGTAAGCAGTTTATTTAAAAAGTAATATTTAATCATTTTTACAATTCAGAATTATTACGAAGTTTAAAAAATGAAAGTTCTGGTTTTGAAGATGCTGAGTTCAAGCAGCCGTATACTACGCAATACACTCGTGGCATGTTTTTTAAAAATACAGCGGACAGTGCATGCAATAAAATTATTACTAAAAACACTACGCGCGCGGCACTCGCGACGGATGGACTGCGAGGTTCGCTTAGAGTTCGTGTAAAGCGTGCGTCTGTGTGCGTGAGTCTGATTTCGAGCGTTTGTATGAAGCTTCCGTACTGTTTGATTTATCTACTGTGTTAATAGTGTTTGTTGGCTGATATTCGATTAAGGACAAAGACCTAACATCAAGTTATTAGTGTAGGCGTACCACATTGATTTTACTGTGTCTACTTGCCTGTAAATTCATAGCCTGAAAAAAGCTAAATCAAGCTTTTTAGACCTTACGTTATCCCCGTTGTGATTTATCTATTTTATTTAATGTTTAATTAAATAACATTTCTGAATAACTTTCAAACAAACAACAAATTCAACACACAAATCGCAAATATATTAATTTGTTAATTTAGAAAGACCGTATTTGTGACGAAAAGATTAGATTTCATTTATCTAAAACTTGATTAAAACATTTTCACTATATCAGAAATTTTATTTGCATTCTTACAGTACTTTACAATATCAAAATCACACCCACGCCACGTCTTAGAAGACAAACTCATTAAGTCCGATACAAAATTATTTATCTAAGTATACAATTGTACATACATTGTTACATACTTGAATCATTTCCATCAGTGGTTCCCTATAGAAAGAAAATGGACGAACGAATAACTCAACAATATTGATCAAAATATTATTTATAAATGAGACGATTATACATTGCAGCCAGGCTAGGATGCGCGCCGTGACAAAATCTTATCGATTAGACTGTAAAAATCGATAAAATGGCGCGATAAAAGCTTATCGCGGCGCGCATCCTTAGCCAAGGTACTCTTAACGATGAACAGTGATTATCACGATTCACTTCACACTTCAGTCGGTTTTGATTTGAAATACTCTGTTATTTTATCATCGTTCTTACGATATATCCTGTGGTGATGTTGTCATGTGATATGCGCAACAAGAACTTATAAAGTTTCGACTTTGATTTGGTTTATTGAAAAAATGGTAGAATAACATTTGGCCCATTAACTTGGGTGTAGAAGAGACCTTCTTGATCTTCTTGATTCTTAATCTAAATTAATGAACTTTTTTCTGTACTAAGCAAAAATGTTATACTCCCATTTTTTCTTTACAAAGCTAGTACACAATGTGTTAAGTAAATACTCTTTTAAATCGATAATTTAGTATCACGCAGAGTCCATACCAAAATAATATACTTAAAAATATTTTAAATATATTATCGGTTAGAAGGTATTGGCACTTCACCGTCGATAATACAATTCATTAAATTGTCAGTAGCCGTGAGATTTCACAACGGTATCGCTGCGTGTAATAAAGACAACGGGTAAAGATGCTGCTCGATAGATTACAATCGATTAACTATTGTCAGAATATCGAATGAAGTATCGATAGTGCAAAATGTGGTAATACACATAATAACTAGCAGTATTGATAGCATTTAAGTATGAAAATCGTTAAGTTATCGATATTATTTCCCTTAGTGCCTCACTAGATAGAGTAACTCAATGATTTGTGCATAATTCCAAAATCACATCATATCCTTTTTCTAAACGTAACTTATTCCCTCCCACATAAGATACACCCAGAAGTGATAGAAAATTTGACATTATACCGAAGATATCCCGGACATCAGCCTATACGAGATTAGGATGGCTTTCAAACAACTGAAGGTCCTTCAGAGGCTCTTTAACTCCGTCTTACTCGAGGGAATACCGGCAGAACCATCGCAGAATTGAATCTGTTATAAATATTACTTAGTTGTTGTAGAGGGGAGCTGCGGGGATACTCCGAAAACGTTATCCGAAGTTTCGAATGTTGTCATCCTTCTTGCGCAAAGCGAGATGCCAGCATGAGCGACAGTGACAGATAGACCCGAAACTACGTAGACGGCGTTTCCTATCAATATTATCGCAATAGTTATTTAATTTTTAGCGTTAAGAGTCGCATCTCAAACTATTGGAAGGTCGTGGGTTCAATTCCCGCCTTAGGCAGTTCGATTTTTTCAAGTTATTTATAATTTTCAAAATATCATCGCAAGTTATCAATAAAATTACCACTTTTTACACTATCAATAGTTGCGACATCCCAACCAACAATCAACCATCGCCACAGCATCCGCAACAGTCCAGTCTAACCCACTTGCGTACGCGCCGGGTCGCACCGCATCGCAACTCAGTGTCGCGGGCGGGCCGCGCAGGAGCCGCAGACGTAGTCGTCGTCTTCCCGCAGCGCGCCGCGACTCAGCCCAACGCAGTGCATGTGGAACCACTGGTCGCAGCCGCCGTCGCACTGCACCCAGTCTACTTCTTTGCCTGGAATGCGGATCATTTATTAGTGGCGATATAAATATGCTGGATAACACTACAGTGACAGGAGGGTGCAACTATCAATACTGTTTTTTCTTACATGACGTTTCAGAACCGTTACTTTAAGGGGCACTTAATAAGACACCATCTTGTTCTAAACAAAGCAAGATTTATGTAATTTTTATAGCGGAAGTAACCTTTATTAGTATTAAATGAGGGTTTTCGCGATTGAAAAATCCGCCAGATGGCAATACGTAGACGCGAGGTCCAAATGCTGCATGATTGGTTATTTTTGACATGACATTGACAGATATGTCAGAATCCACCAATCACGCAGCATTTGGAACTCGCGTCTACGTATTGCCATCTGGCGGATTTTTCAATCGCAAAAACCCTCATTGAAATGAAATAGTTTAATCAGTACATAGGCCCTTTCCAGGGCACTTATACACATCCCAAATATAGCATTTTCATGCCGATAGATTTCCGAACCGAAGATGAGCAGAAAGGTGATATATCTAAATCGGATTGTTTATTCAACTTCTCGTATCAGATTCTCTCCACTTCAGTGGAAACCGAGCCTTACTCTCGTGGCAGCTTATGCTGAAAAGCATGGCTTTTTGTTAAGAAAATAATATACAAAAATGTTGTCATACTACATAGTATTTGACCAATGCGTGTTGCCAGTGATGGTATACGGATCTGAGACGTGGTCGCTTACTATGGGCCTCATTAGAAGGCTCAAGGTCACCCAAAGGGCGATGGAGCGGGCTATGCTCGGAGTTTCCCTGCGTGATCGAATCAGAAATGAGGGGATCCGCAGGAGAACCAAAGTAACCGACATAGCTCACAGAATTGCTAAAATTAAGTGGCAGTGGGCGGGGCACATAGCTCGTAGAGACGATGGCCGTTGGGGCAGGAAAGTTCTCGAGTGGCGACCACGGGCTGGAAGACGTAGCGTGGGCAGGCCTCCTACTAGGTGGACCGACGATCTGGTAAAGGTCGCAGGAAGAGCCTGGATGCGGGCAGCGCAGGACCGTTCATTGTGGAAAACCTTGGAGGAGGCCTTTGTCCAGCAGTGGACGTCATTTGGCTGAAACGAACGAACGAACGAACGTTGTCATACTGCGATCAAGTGGACATAAATGGAATGGGACTTACCGGTAGGACGCAAGCAGTCGGCGGCGGCGCAGTCTTCGTCGTCGTCGGCGGAGGACGACGAGCTGCTGCTACGTCGTCGAGGCGCCGCCGCGCCCGCGCGAGAACCGCCGCGTGGCTGGCCTGAGGGTAGAAGAAACATTAGAACATAACCAGCTTCTTCTCATGGTATTCTTTTCGTGACGACAACAAACCTCATGGTGTTAAGAGGTTAAGAAAGGGAACAAACGAACACACACTTGTTTGTAAGAACACCTTCAAAAAGAGGCTGACCTGAGGCATTACAACAATATTGTTAGCTTGTCCCTCAAGACAGACTTATAGTGTTAAGAAAGAAAACAATAAAATAATAAATAAATAAATCTTTGGACAATTTCACACAGCGCCAGCTAGCCCCAAAGTAAGCAACTTAATGCTTGTGTTATGGGTGCTACGAGGGCGGCACTGAAAATTTCGGGAATCAAGGAAGTGAAACAACATTACTATTTAAAAATGTATTTATTGCTTTTTAAAGTATTCTCCGCGAAATTTGACACATTTTTCCATACACGAAACCAATCATTGAAGCAACCATTGCATTCGGAAGTTTGGGTCTCCAAAATGGCCGTTTTGTAGGCTTCCACAGCTTCTTCAGGTGATGAAAATCTCTGACCACGCAATTTATTCTTTATTTAAGGGAAAGTATAGAAATCATTAGGGCTTAGGTCGAGGCTGTACGGCGGATGGACTAATAATTCTATGTTTTCTTGCTCTAAAAACTCCTTTGTTCAGTGCGCGGTGTGAGAACTCGCATTGTCGTGATGGAGGATGATGCGGCGGTTGCAGTTCTCTTTACGGAGTTCAGAAACGACCTGTGGCAAACAAATGCTAGCATACTAATCTGCATTAACCGTTCTTTGTCCCCCAAGAGGAATAGTCGCAACATGGCCGGTTTTGGAGACAAACGTGGCCACCATTTTTTTTGCAACACTCCGTGAACGAACAATTTTTGTTGGCTTTAATTCATTTTCGAACACCCAAACTCGTGACTGGTTTTTTGTTTCGGGTTCGTACGCGTATATCCATGATTCGTCACCTGATACGATGTTGTATACAGCATTTGAGGATCCTGCATGTAATCTCCCGAGAGTTCTGACGCACCAAGTAACGCGAGCCGCTTTTTGCTCTTCACAGAGCGAATGCGGTATCCATCGGGAAAACAACTTTTTTACACCTAATTGTTCATGCAAGATTATTTGTATTTGACTCATGCCAATGTCTAAAGTTGCCTGAATTTCGCGGTATATCACATGTCGATCTTCTTCAATCAGCTTACGCACAGCATCAACGTTTTCTTAGGTGACTGCAGTTTTTGGACGACCTTGACGGGGATCATCACTGAGCTTGACACGTCCACGTTGAAATTCAGGAAACTAGCGATAAATTGTGGTTTTGGATGGGGCTTCATTACCAAATGCAGAAATCATCCGGTCAACACACTGTTTTTGTGTTAAACCACTTCAAAAGTCATAATAAATCATCGCTCTTGAATTTTCTCGAGTCAATTCCATTTTCTCAACGACTAAACAAGTTTGACAAGACCTTGTGATACGACCGAGAATCTTTTTTTAAATAAATAAATGGTATACGATTTTTAAAACCCTGGACTTTGCAATTAAATAGATTTTAATATGACTGGAACAGTGGAAATATTCCATTCCCGATACTTTTAGTGCAGCCCTCGTAGCTTAACGGATATACTACTTATATACTTTTTTTTTAAATACATACATATTATACATAGTAACACCCAGACCATCATTTCAATTTCTGCCCGGCCGGGAATTGAACCCGGGACCTCTCGGCATAGTAGTCCGTTCTGAACCACTACACCAAACGGCCGACAAACAAAGATACGAGTTTTTACTGACGTTTTGAGACGGAGTATGCTTTGCTACCTTGTTGCAATCCATTGCATCCCACTGAACATGTTATGAACCTATAGAAATCGAGGTGCTCCCAAAGACAATACACGATTGAATGTAACCAAAGAAATCTTCTAGGTTTTTGATGAAAAATGGGAAATCGTACTCTATGGGACTATACGGGCAGCTACTTCTTTATGTGGTATGGGCTGGTTCTTGGTAAAAATAAAATCTCACGCAAATGCAAATGTTATTTATGATGGAGCGAGAGAACATTATGGCTTGTATAGTTTCGGGTACACAGACACAGGTTATAAAGACGCTGGATGCAGGCCAACTGGCTAATCTGGAAATCATTGGGAAAGGCCTATGTTCTGCAGTGGACGTCCTATAGCTGAAATGATGAAGAATTGGGACCATCGTTATAGCGAGCACTTACCAAGTCTGGCTTGACGAGGGTGCTTGCCGCGTGTAGAAGCCGCCAAGCCACGCTTGCGGCGCTCTTGGCGTGCCATGTAGTGCTTGCGCATCATCAGGCCCGAGCCCGACGACATGCCCTGAGGAAAAACATTATGTCAAATAAAAGGCATGTAAAAAAGACACTTCAATGGGTGGACATTCAATGGGGAATATTTGATATCACAAACGTTGAGGATACATTCTAAATCCAGCTTGTACTACCATCATTTTGGGAGAATATAAATTGACCGTGAATGGCACTGAGAGAAAAAGTGTTAGTTGTTGTTTTGTTGTGTACTTGCATCGAATAAATACTTTTTCTTTCTTTCAAAAAGTGGCAAGAAACATTTTGTCATCTTTGTCATTTAATAACTTTTGTCTATTTAAAGTATTATAATTTTAGTAAAGTACTTGTATTATTACGTAATTGTAAACGATTACTTACTTGTTTTCTGTTGAGATAATTCGTTGTCGTGGCAGAGCCTCGTTTTAACGTCGTTTTTGGTGCCGTCGTAGCTGAAACAATATTTGCATTTTAATTATGATTAAGGGATCGCAGACGTCCTTATCCATGGACGTTTTATTTTAAAGAAAAATTATGTGCTGATTTTTCATTTAGAGCTGCGCCCTCTTGCGGCGGCCGGCGACGACGCGTGTCTCATACGTCACGAGAGTGCGCACGCGGCGCTGTATCCTCAGGTCACTAGCCTTGTTCGTTCGAGGAGAGCGCGTGACGTCACACAGCTCATGTAGCGTAAGTACTGCAGCGCAGGTTACGTTACATTTACATCACGAATGTGTGCGCAGCGCTATATCGCTCGAGTCGGTATCATGAGGTCACTAAAGCGTTGTTTCCATTAATCGAAGAGGGTGTGTGACGTCACACGATTCATAGAACATGAGTACTTACAGTGCGGTGCATACACAGCTCTCCCCCGCTTCAGCTGATGGACGCCACGCCACACGTCACGAGATCGCTGGTCTTGTCAAGTCCTGTATCGCTAGAGTCGGTTTATGACGTCACTTACGGTGAGGCGCGTGCGAGGCGGCTGCCGGCCCTGCCTATTCAGCTGGTGGTGGGGGCGGTACGGGCGCGTGACGTCACGCAACTCAGACAGTGTAGGTACCCTCGATGCATCACGTACGAGGCGGCAGGTGAGAGCGCGTGGGCAAGCTTTGCTTTGCTTGTAGAAGGGTCTTCCGGCACGGGTAGTGTAACTGTGAGTACTTACGATGAGGCGCGTGCGAGGCAGCCGGTGAGAGCGCGTGCGCAGCTCTCCCCCTCTTGAGCTGGTGGTGGGGGCGGGGCGGGCGCTGCGGCCTCTTGTACTAAAGTCTTGTTCCCGTGACGTCACACAGCTCATGTAGTATAAGTAGGTACTCACGGTGTGGCGCGTGCGAGGCGTGTCTCATACGTCACGAGAGTGCGCACGCGGCGCTGCATCCTCAGGTCACTAGCCTTGTTCGTTCGAGGAGAGCGCGTGACGTCACACAGCTTATGTAGCGTAAGTACTGCAGCGCAGGTTACGTCACATTTACATCACGAGTGTGTGCGCAGCGCTATATCGCTCGAGCCGGTATCATGAGGTCACTAAAGCGTTGTTTCCATTAATCGAAGAGGGTGTGTGACGTCACACAGCTCATGTAGTGTGAGTACTCACTGTGCGGCGCGTGCGCAGCTTTGCGGACACGGGACGTAACGATGCTCAGATACTGAGGTAGCGCATTTACACGATGCGGGAACTTTAGTAACTTTAAACTACTCGCTACTGGTCAAAAACTGTGTTTAATGTATAAGTAATTAAGTACTTACGATGAGGTACGTGGGAGGCAGCCGGTGAGAGCGCGTGCGCAGCCCTGCCCCGCTTGAGCTGGTGGTGGGGGCGGGGCGGGCGCTGGGCCCTCTTGCACTAAAGTCTTGATCGTTTGAGGAGAGTGCGTGACGTCATACAGCTCATGTAAGGTCTGGTCCGTAAGCACGTAGAATTTTGTCCAGTGACTCCAAGCTAACCCATCCGTATCGCTCGCGCGTAATTATGTTGCTGTCCCGCTCGCACACTCACTGCGGGCGCGCGTCGCACAGTCGCGACAGCAATATAATTACGCGCGAGCCATAAGGATGGGTAGCTTGGGGTCATTGGACAAAATTCTACGTGCTCACGGACCAGGCTTTAGTATAAGTACTCACGGTGCGGCACATGCGAGGCAGCCGGTGAGAGCGCGTGCGCAGCCCTGCCCCTCTTGAGCTGGTGGTGGGGGCGGGGCGGGCGCTGCGGCCTCTTGCGGCGGCCGGCGTCCACGCGCGCGCGGCGTGTCTCATTAACGTTACGAGAGAGAACTAGCCTTGTTCGTTTGAGGAGAGCGCGTGACGTCACAAAGCTCCCAAGCTACCCATCCGTATCGCTCGCGCGTAATTATGTTGCTATCGCGCTCGCACACTCACTGCGGGCGCGCGTCGCACAGTCGCGACAGCAATATAATTACGCGCGAGCCATAAGGATGGGTAGCTTGGGGTCATTGGACGGGATTCTACGTGCTCAAGGACCAGGCTTTAGTATAAGTACTCACGGTGCAGCACGTGCGAGGCAGCGGGTGAGAGCGCGTGCGCAGCCCTGCCCCGCTTGAGCTGGTGGTGGGGGCGGGGCGGGCGCTGCGCCCTCTTGCGGCGGCCGGCGTCCACGCGCGCGCGGCGTGTCTCATACGTCACGAGAGTGCGCACGCGGCGCTGTATCCTCAGGTCACTAGCCTTGTTCGTTCGAGAGCGCGTGACGTCACACAGCTCATGTAGTATGAGTACTTACGGTGCGGCGCGTGCGAGGCGGCGGGCGAGAGCGCGTGCGTAGTTCTTCGTTTCGCACCCTTAATAATATAGGGGCTCAACTCAAAATTTTTGGTTTTTTACTTTTTGTACTAGAGAGGCATATTTTCGTCAGTTCTACAAGATGGCTTTCACAGAAATCGAAAACAATGATCAGATTAAAGAGTTCTACATTTTGTGCCCCTTCCATACTTTCATCTATCTTCCCGCTAGAAGGGCTGAATCAGAGACATGCCGATATTTGTCGAATCCGGCCCCCGCGACTGTGGTCCAATTTGGAGTTGTGCCTTTGTGTGACAAACTTTTAAGTAAGTGTTAGTGAGCTAAGTCTAATTAATTCCATATATTTCTAATAATATGTTACATTTTCATTTTTATTACATTGATAAAGTCCCGTTAATCATAGAAAATTATAAAATATAACTTTAACTTTAGTTAGGCGGACCATGGATGGGTGTTTGTAGTTAAATTTATAACCCTCCTATAAAAGTAATTTGCTTCTTGGTATTAATTTTCATACCTATTGGTTGATTAGGAGCCTATAGAATGTTTTATCGCGATGCTAAGAAATAAAGCGGTGGTTATGAAATACTTCCCGACAAATAAACTAATGATTTATAAAATAAGAGACATACCTACGTGTTAAGGCTATTAACGTTCGCTCGGGGCTCGGGTTGGCTTTTTTCTTTGTTTATTTCATGAATAAACGCACTAGTCAGCCAAAAGGTGAATTACTTTAATATGTTAGTGTTATAATTTATAATTATATTCTTTAATTTATTACGGTCACATAAATTGATGCTAATTAATCACTCAGATTCTGAGGACTGAGGATACATCGAATTTATTTTAAAATTATCTTTTCACGTATTAAGTTACTACAATTTTACTGATCAGCTATTAGACCTTGAAATTTTCAGTTTGTCTAAATTTAAGTTCTAAAGTGCTTTTTGTCTTAAAAATGTGAGTTCGTAATGTAATCTTGTGTTAACACCAGTTTTTATTAATATGTGGCAAATATTGTACACAAAAGCAAAGAAAAAAGATCACGGAGTTTGTGATAACAAACCAAGCATACTCTGGGATAAAAATTGTACAAAATAATAAATATTGGGTGTCCAATATCGTCGTAAACCTTGTGTACCTAGACTCTTTGCAATACTGAAGTCAAGCAGGACGTAAAGGGCTTCTATTTGGAGGGCCAAAGATATGTATTGAGCTTTCTAATCACTAAAATGATCAAAAGCAAAATGATGATGAGTACGGAAAAATTAAAAGCAGCTATCTTCGATGGACTGCAAATCCGTGCTCTTATAAAAGACTGTATTTGTAAACCATATAACACAAATTGAATCTGAAGCATGGCTAAGGTGCTTTAGTAGTAAAATATTTTTTGGGGAATGTTAGAACACCAGAATAGATATTCTTGTGTTCAAAATTGGTTGCTAAAATCCTTCAAAAATTACACACGCCAATTTGAGTATTAAATTGTATTTTTTACAATAGCCATTTGAACTGATTCCCACATAATGTGGGTGATTATAGTAAGGGACAAGGAGAACGGTTCCTTCCACCAGGACAGCAGGATAGTGGAAAAAAGATACCAAGGTACTGGCTGTTGGACTTTAATAAGTGATTATCCTGAACAAATCCATAACAGAAAACCTTACAGAAAAAGTTTTTGTAGGTTTTTTCTTTATTTGATAAAAAGCATATTTTTTATAGGGTAAGAGTCCCTATCTATCTAAGTAAAAATATTTTGAATGCATAAAATTAGTATTTTCATGTCGGTTTTCTCAGAGAAATAGCTAATAGTCTTTATTTTAATCTAATTCGACATATCTAATAATTTTCTAGTATTCAGCACCCTACTCTTATACTGAATTGGCTATAAGCTACTATACCGCACAATAACTGTCCCCAATGTTATTGGGCGTAAATCAATATAAAAATCGAATAATACACTTATTTTTAAATATTAGAGAGCAATATTAGGGAATATGCCATATAAAACAATTCAGCCTAAGGATTAGATGGGCACAAGTACAAGTAATACCCAAAATCACAACAACAGAAATAGTAAAATAAAGGCCTAACTTTGAAATATTTTTTTAAACAATTTTTTTACATACTCATAATCAATATTTTCAAAAATGTCTCATGTCAAATTATATAACAGATACCAGTGATGAAGTATGCTTAATTTGAAAGTTGTAGCTGATAAAATAAAGAATTTAGAGCCAATTATGTAAAAAACCGCGATCCGCCGATTGGTTTTTTGGCTTTTCCCAAAAAACTGAATTTTGGAGTTGTGCCCATTCATTATTAAGGGTGCGGTTTGAGCTGGTGGTGGGGATGGGGTGGGTGTGTGACGTCACACAGCCTATGTAGTGTGAGTACTTATGGTGCAACGCGTGCGAGGCGGCTGGCGAGAGCGCGTGCGCAGCTCTCCCCCTCTTAAGCTGATGGACGCCGCGCCACACGTCACGAGATCGTTTATTTTGTCAAGTCCTGTATCGCTAGAGTCGGTTTATGACGTCACTCACGATGAGGCACGTGCGAGGCAGCCGGAGAGAGCGCGTGCGCAGCTCTCCCCCTCTTGAGCTGGTGGTGGGGGCGGGGCGGGCGCTGCGCCCTCTTGCGGCGGCCGGCGTCCACGCGCGCGCGCCGTGTCTCCGCTCCGCGGGCGGCGCAAACGCAAGCCCATACTTGCGCCTGCTCTTCTAACCGAACCTGGAAGAATTTAATATTTTTACCACTCGACAACGACCTATTTATTTTACCTAACCGAAATAGCTTAATAGCTTAAATCTTCGGACAATCTCACACAGCGCCATCTAGCCCCAAAGTAAGCAATTAATATGCTTGTGTTATGGGTGCTAGCTTAACGGATATACTACTTATATACGTTTTTTTTTAAATACATACATATTATACATAGTAACACCCAGACCCGTCACAGAAATTAAAATTCATCATTTCAATTTCTGCCCGGCCGGGAATCGAACCCGGGACCTCTCGGCATAGTAGTCCGTTCTGAACCACTACACCAAACGGCCGACGTGCGAAAAGCAACACATAAAGCCAGATCCTGATTGGTTTGCCCAATCCGATCACCATACCGTATCAGAGCAGCACATCAAAACTAGGCGTTGATGATACTAGTCAGGGATTTAAATTAGGTGATCAGCGAGGTTATTACGAATCTTAGCGACTGGTTAATTGTAATTGCAACACGACTGCGAAAACTATTTGTTCATCAGTAGCGCCACCTGTAATGAGGGCTATCGTTTTAGCGCTCACCAGTTAGCGCCACTGTAGAGTAAGGTCCTGTCACTTGCTAGTAGCGAAGACAGTGGCGCCAACTTGTGAGCGCCAAAGTGGTAGGAGGACTATCGCATTTGCACTCATCAAGATGGCGCCACTGTAGAGTAAGGTCCTGTCAATCGCCAGGGGTGCCAACTGTTAAGTATAAAAACGATAGCCCTCATTGAACGTGGTGCTATCATTGGTTGGACTACACCACGACTGCTACCGGTCACGTTGCTATTGGACACTGGCAACTGGTTGCTGAGATCTGTAATACGCATGCTGATCACGGAACCTAATCAGAGTAGCACATAAAAATACGTCGGGGATAATAATAATATGATCGCATCGAGCAAATGTTACATAATAAAAACCCATCTTAACAACCCCTAACATCAATTTAAAACGAAAAATTAGACTGCAATCTCTTATAAACAAAGAACACCGTACAACTTCGCTTAGAAACTAGTTCTCACCTCCAGCAAGTCTCCCTCCAGCATAAGTTCTTCGAGCTTGTGGAGCAAGCCGGGAGCGACGCGGGCGCCGGGCGAGCGCGGTGTTGCGCTATACGCGTGCTCTACTGATGCCGACGATCTATACACAAACAGGCAATAGTTTTATTAAAATCCCTTCAGTAGTATTTACGTCTTCCCCTGCCGCGGGTGTTGTTGCGGGGTCTCCACTCCAGGGTCTTTCCGGCCCAGCGATCCTGGTTCATCCGTGCAATGTGTCCTGCCCATCTCCATTTACGGCTCTCTATCTCTTCCACCACGTCGCCGATCCTTGTCTTTTCTCTGATCCACTCGTTCGTCCGCCTAAACGATGGACAGACGATATCCGGCAGCAGGCTGGAGTGAACTGGATGCGTGTGGCCAGGGACAGAAAACGATGGAGGGTTGAAGAGGAGGCCTATGTTCGAAGGCGAACCCAAAGGCTGACATAGATAGATAGTATTTACGTAAAAGCACTTAGTAGTAGGCGGGGCACATAGCTCGTAGAGACGATGGTCGTTGGGGCAGAAAAGTTCTCGAGTGGCGACCACGGGCTGGAAGACGTAGCGTGGCCAGGCCTCTGCTAGGTGGACCGACGATCTGGTAAAGGTCCCCTGAATGCAAGCGGCGCAGGACCGTTCATTGTGGAAAACCTTGGGGAAGGCCTTTGTCCAGCAGTGGACGTCATTTGGCTGAAACGAACGAATGAACGATTTATATTAGTAAAGTAACGTTTGTTTATTTACCTTGAATTTTGTGATACATCATGCGCTCTTCCTGTAGCTTTCTTTAGTTCTGCATTTAGTTTGTCCGATTTTTCTCTGTTGGTCTGTAAAGAAACAAATCAAATTAGGGACGATATCCTCAAAGTCTTCAAGCCATCAAGGTTCTAATGATGTGTACACAAGGTACAGTTCCCTGCGTCCTCCCGGCGTTAACATTAAACAATTGAAGGCCTCACGTCGTCAGCCATCTTCATCAACCAAAAACAGACCCTAACACCATATACACAAGGCCCAAAATTACCTGCGGTCGCTCAGCGTGTGCCAGAACCCAACAAACGAAGTTTTAATAGCGTTAGCTATCTATCATCAACCAAAAACAGACCCTAACACCATATACACAAGGCACACAATTACCTGAAGCCAGAGCTTGTGCTTGAAATAGACAAATGAAGTTTTCACTCAGCCAGCCTCACATCTATCACCCAAAAACAGACCCTAAAGCCATACACACAAGGCACATAATTACCTGCGAGCAATCAGAATCCATCAAACGAAGTTTTTATGGCATCAGCTATCTATCATCAACCAAAAACAGACCCTAACACCTACACAAGGCTCACAATTACCTGGGGGCCAGAACTTATGTTAGAAACAGACAAATGAAGTTCTCACTCTGCAAACCTCACATCTATCACCCAAAATAGACCCTAAAGCCATATACACAAGGCACACAATTACCTGAAGCCAGAGCTTGTGCTTGAAATAGACAAATGAAGTTCTCACTCTGCCAACCTCACATCTATCACCCAAAATAGACCCTAACACCATATACACAAGGCTCATAATTACCTGCGAGCAATCAGAACCCAACAAATGAAGTTTTTATGGCATCAGCTGTCTTTCATTACCCAAAAACAGACCCTAAAACCATACACAAAGCCCATAATTACCTGCGGGCGTTCAGCGTGAGCGGGCAAGGCAGCAAGCGCTGGGCTAGCGAGAAGCGCACGCGCAGCATCCTGCCACGCCATGGCGCGCTCCGTCACGCACTGTAACGCCTCGCCTTCTGCTAGTCGCACTGGCAGCTTTTGTAGCCACACCTGAGGAAGGAATATTACGTTAGTATTACCACAGAATAATAATAAGTACTACGTACAGAAGTTTTACTTCGCGAAGGTATTTAAAAAAATGTATGCTCAATGTCATTAACAATATGGTGTAATTTAGCCTGTCTCAAGAGTCAAGCACCATTTTGTTGACAAACGTCAGTGATCGGCACTGCGCCGAAGCTATAGGGCTGACTTCGGTAAAATGATGTGATGTGAGGTGCCAAACTGCGGAAAATGGCGGGGGAAATATAGCCTGACCAGGAACATAAAAACTAGAGATGGGCCGACTAGTCGCCGACTAGTCGGGAAAGCCGACTATTCGGCATAATTTGTAGTCGGCCGACTAGTGACGACTATTCGGCAAAATATGCCGATTATGATCGGCGCATTACAAAATTAAATATGTGAATGAAATAAAACTCATAATCGCCAAGATGATTGTGAGGTAGACCAAGGGCGTTTAACTAAACCACTTGACTGCGAAAAATCAGTAAAAAGTAGTTTCACCTGATTTAAAATTTTGACAGTCTAAATTCATACAAAGTTAAGATTAGATAAAATTACCAGGAAATCATCAAAAATGTGTAAATTTTATGCAATTGAAAATCAAAAATCAAAATAGACCACAAGTGGCACTTATGTACGTCAATAGAAAATAATAAAAAAAGAAAAGGTAGCCCTTATGGGGCACTTTACATGTCTCCTTATCTTTTGGGCCCTACCAGCGTTACAATTGGTCCATATAATAATTATGACACTTTGTTTTTCGGGGAAAAAATGCATGGAATTGCAACGTATCCTGCGGGGAAGTGGTAGATTATGTGGGGCTCCTCTCATCGGAAGGATGAGGAATACCCACATAAATAACCCCTGAGCTCCGTCGATCGCCTTAGTGTGAAGAACTATGGGAATCCAGACAAAGCCATCAACTATCACAATCCGTCCCGGCAATTGCCCACCTGTATGGCGAGCCCTGCCTATCCGACGGTGGTGGTAGTCCGTGCTATGCAGGCGGGGGTACCCCCACGCCCCCAGTTCGCTGACCATCACCGTGGAGGGTGGAGAGGAATCAGTGGGCCTAGGATGCGTGCCGCGATAAGCACAATTTTTCCCATACATTTTGACGTCGATAAGTAAGAATAATGTCACGGCGCGCATCCTAGCCCAGCAGGAGGCGATCATATTGTCACCTCCTCTGACCCCTTCGCCGTCGAAAATTATGGCATCTACCTTAGGTACTGTTAGGTGATTGTAATGTTGCTTTTTATTTTTTCTCATAATTTAAAGAAATCTCATTTCTCAAGAAGTTATACACCACTAAATTTTAATCACCGAAAAAAAAATTCTGGGTAATGAGTTATTGATACTGATCCCATTTGTGCAAAAAAAAGAGTAAAATAAAGTGACTCAAAATATCCTCTTAAAATTGGTAATTTATTGACACACGCGTCGCTAGCACTATTTAAGTACGATAATGTAACACTTATTAGAATTAAAAATGGTCTAAGTTAGTTAAGTATGTAATAATAACACTGGAAGCGTGGTCGAGGCGTGAGCGAGACAGACAGATCGATGCAACGTGCGAGAGCGTACGACTACTCTAGCGAGCAGCGGAGTGACCCAGCTGTGACGCGTAAAATACGGACTAACGAAAATTTAATTAAAAAATTAACTTCATGAAAACCATTTCTTTTTCTTTTGCTTTCAATATTCCACACGTTTCTACATAACCTGTTAAAATTTTTTTCGGTGATAAAAATTTAGTGGTGTATATTTATCTCTTTAGAAATCTAGATATTCATATTTTTGAGAAAATCTAGATATTATTCTTCGGACAAGTAGGTATTAGAATGATCGGCATTGCCGATTAGTCGGCCGACTAATCGGCAATTTGAAAACCGATTAGTCGGCTAGTCGGTTAGTCGGCAAAGACCATAGTCGGCCCATCACTAATAAAAACCCTCGCCATGTTGCGGAAAACTAATGGTACTAATTTATTTTAATGGCAACAGTATAGATGACCCAGGCTGAACTGTCCCGCCAAACTCAATGACAGGGGGGCGCTACCATCGTTCAACTATATGGTTTCCAACATGGCAAAAATCTGAACCAGCGATCCGGTATTGGCGGTGGCGCCCCACTGTCAATGTCATCGACAGGACAGTCCAGTATTTTGGAACTATAACTGAAAACTTCATTGACATGTCACCTTGCATGTCAGTCTATTGTTGTCAAAGTGTAAACAAACTTTATTTTAAATGTTTGCAATTGATTTTGTGAATTAAATTGCTAAAATGTTTTTATAGTCGTGAAAGAAAAGTGGTTCACGGTGTGTTAAAGTATTTGTCGAAGAGAAATACTAAGGGTTCGGACAATATTTTCATTGAATAATGTTTCCGACAAAGGTTGTCAAATTGACTGACATGTTTATCGTATAGTACAGTCCACTATGAAAATTAGCTGTGGTTTGTTTCAACTACCTATTTTAAAGACATTGCAGTTGAATATTCAAGTTCTGAATTTGATTATTGATGAATAATAAAATAAATCCTACTAGCTCGATTGATGGTTTCATTTAATTTATTTAAACCAGGTTACCTATAATAATATTTTTTGGTTAATTTATGAAAATATCAAATTAGCCCGTAATCCTGAATCCTGATACATAAAGTTAGCCTATTAATTTAACACAGGTACGACTGTACTCAGTGTTGCACTATCAAATGCGATTGACGCGCCTCTATGCCAGGGTTTTTATGTTCCTGGTCAGGCTATACATGATTTAGCATGAATTATCATGAATAATATTAACTACTTATTTACCTCTCAGAAGCAACTTAAAAAAGTACATTCTGTGTTTTTATTATTATTTAGGCAGTTAAATACTGCACAGTATTTAGTACACCATTTTCTTTATTTTCTTCCATCATACACAAGAATACGCGCGTGCGTGAATCAATGTTCGCTCGTATGTGAGGCCTTGTCGAATAGTATCCTGTAGGTGCGTGTTTTGTTTTCGATGTAAACTCACGGAGATGAACAGGCCTGGTATTACTCAAACATTATAAACTAAGATCTGGTGAACGCCAGACCTACGTCATTCTATAAAAGCTGAAAGTTTGTCAGCGTATGTTCCTAATATAGGTTAGAATGTTGGTGGATTATGAAGTTTGGGTCATCGTGGCTTTGGCAGCTATCCTAAAGAAACTGTCTGGCCACGAGTTGGAACTGTCAAAACTGTTGGATGATGTGGAAAGTACTTCTAATTATTTCCCTAATATTTTATATAAAAATCAGCTTTTATGGTATAACGTAAGCCTAACTTTTATAGCTAGAGTATCGATTTTGTCACTGTTGTGCCTTGACAGAGCAGAGGTAGGAAGGGACGTTTCACGATAAATACATTAAAAGGGCGTCGCAAGAAGAAACTATGACGGTCACAGTAAAAAAAAAATTTGCGAATTCCTGAATCTGAGTAGATGCGAACTGTTAAATAATTAGAAAATAGTAGTATCATTATTTAGTACTTTGGGTCTCTTTCTTATTCGTAATGCCCGCAAAAGTAAGTTCTAGAAACATGTATCGGTACATTGCACACACAATATTGATAAAAAAAATATCACGGTAATATGGGGGAAGTAAATATTGAAGTGTCAAAAGGAATGAAGTGTCAAATGGAGTGATAAAGTGATCACTCCAGATTGATCCACTCCAAACACCAAACAAAGCTCCAAATACAAATTGTAGTAAGTGAGTAGCAAGTTAAAGTACTCACCAACAACGCCAATATTCTATCAAGGCGCGGGCGCTTGGTGCGTGTACAATCAGGGCACAGGAACTTGGGCTCGGGCCGCGGGAAGGGCAGCTCTACTCGGTCAGGGGACTCCGCCCTCTCTTCTTTGTTGGCCGCTATGCAGGCCGCTGTAGGAAGATATATTGATTATGAGAAACACGTCGAAATCCTTTTTTTTTTCAACAGGTTTATAAAGAAAGGATGGCCGAAGGCAGGCCGCTAAAGTCCGGTCTCTGAGCACGTAGAATTTTGTCCAATGACCCCAAGCTACCCATCCTTCATCATCAACCTCACTGCGGGCGCGCGTCGCACAGTCGCGACAGCAATATAATTACGCGAGAGCGATAAGGATGGGTAGCTTGGGGTCATTGGACAAAATTCTACGTGCTCAGCGAACAGACTATACCAACCGGGCAATATGGAAATCATTGAAGGAGGCCTATGTTCAGCAGTGGACGTCCTGTGGCTGAAGTGATGATAATGGTGATGATGATAAAGAAAGGGAGACTACAGCCAGTCTCACTGCTTTATTGTGTGCTGCTGTAAGATTCTGAGCAAGCACGTTTTAAGTTAAATTTTATCGTCTATTTTATTTATATTTTATTTATTTATTTATTAGGTCTACCAACATTGTTACTTAACAACTATTTCCAAATATACACGCAAAAATATACATACAATTCATGGTTTGACTGATATAAATCAGTAAGACATATCACAAGACAAGGGGGGGGATATAATCGAGGATATTACAACAATGTTAGAAATTTAACAACAATTCCGATAGTAAAGGTAAGAAAGTCATTTCCTCCGGTTGAGGATTCCGGCTGAAGCTCACTTCCACCTTCACCTTGATCATCACTTACGGTTGCGGATAAAAAAACAATTTAAAAATTGACATCTGACGTTAAAAACAAGATCCGAATTACGAGGGGTAAAGCCTGGTCTGTGAGCACGTAGAATTTTGTCCAATGACCCCAAGCTACCCATCCTTATCGCTCGCGCGTAATTATATTGCTGTCGCGACTGTGCGACGCGCGCCCGCAGTGAGTGTGCGAGCGCGATAGCAACATAATTACGCGCGAGCGATAAGGATAGCTTGGGGTCATTGGACAAAATTCTACGTGCTCACGGACCAGGCTTTAGTTGAGGGAAGGGGAGGAAGAAAGGCATATCTAAAGATGTTAAATATCATCACTGACCGTGGAACCAGTCCTTGCACAGCTCGCACTGGCTCATGACGCCGTACTGGCGCTTCTGGCACACGCAGTACGTCACGCCGAGCGTCGGCGCCGCGCGCACTTCTTTGCGCATGTTCTTGGCTCTGTGGGCAGAGGGGTGTTTGGTTATTGTGACGTTGGTGAATGGTGTCAGTCTTTGAATTGATAGCTGTCAAAAAAATCTGCGCTGCATTGTCTTTGTTGCCATAACATCGCAACACGTTTCTCTACCGTCTCTTTGGGCCGTGAGCGTAAGAACTACACTGAACTGTTATTTATTTGACACTGGCAGGAGGGCCACCGTCAATAGCGGATCGCTAGATCCGACTTTTGCCACGGTGGAAACCATGTAGTTGAACGAAGATGGTGGCGCCCTTCTGTCAATGTCGTCGGTGGGACATTTCAGTGTAGTTCATCTTTACGAGCACGTTCTGTAATTTCAACGGATTTGTTGAAATGACAGAACGTGCTCGTAATGCCATCGTATCACACGGTCGTGTGGCATGTAGTTTTTCGTGTTTCAATGTAGAATCACGGAGCATCACCGCTCAGTCGTCGCAGCGTCAACGAAACCCACAGTCAACACTCGTGTATGTCACGCCGTAGGCCGCGTCACAATGCTTTCTATAGAAATGTGTTGTTTCTTTCAGATATTGACGTAGTCGGCGTATAGCATCAATAGGTCGTACGCTTCGTATAGCGTTTAGGACACCCCAGAAATTACAGACATTTAATCGGCCGATAGTTGGGTCAACTTCCAATTTGTGCGCGCATTTGGTCGGACTGTTAATCAGTCCACAAAAAGTCTTTAGTCTGCGGGGAGTCAAAAGAGACCAGCGCTTGACACTCACCGCAGCAGCTTGATGGCGGCCAGCTCCCTGCTCTCGGCCTGCTTGAAGGCGCCCACGATCTCGCTGGGCGTGGAGTCCTCGCTGAAGTGGCGCAGGAACAGCCCGGCCTCGAGCGAGGAGGGCGGAGGCTCGGCGGCTGGCGGGCGGGACCGGCGTCGGGCTCCGCTGGCGGATTCCGTGCGCGGTGATAACGCTTCGAGGAGAGAGTACGGCCAGTTCTGTGGGGATAAAAATACATTATCCCAATCCCAACTAATATTATAAATGCGAAAGTAACTCTGTCTGTCTGTCTGTTACGCTTTCCCGCTTAAACCTCGCAACCGATTTTGATGAAATTTGGCATAGAGATAGTTTGAGTCCCGGGAAAGAACATAGGATAGTTTTTATCCCGGTTTTTGAAACAGGGACGCGCGCGATAAAGTTTTTCTGTGACAGACAAAATTCCACGCGGGCGAAGCCGCGGGCGGAAAGCTAGTAAGCTTATAAAATCATTTATCATCATCATCAGGTTACTTAGTTTTCACTGCAGGAATACGAGCGTATCAAATTAAACACAAGTTGTCTCGTTTTTATCTTTTAAGATCATTTTTACGCAGTTGGGTTTTTGTTTTTTCAATAATTTGTTAGCTATAAAATCCAGGTCGTACATTGATCAATCTTTGAATGATTCTCAAGCCAAAAAAAAGTGTTATCAGTGACCCTAAAGTCCGGTAGAATTTCGTCCAATACCGCCGAGCAGATAAAATTTCGTCCAATGACCCCAAGCTTTTAGCAATCCTTATCGCTCGCGCATAATTATGTTGCTGTCACGCTCGCACACTCACTGCGGGCGCCCGTCGCACAGTCGCAACAGCAATATAATTACGCGCGAGCGATAAGGATGGGTAGCTTAGGGTCATTGGACGAAATTCTGTGCTCTGCGACCGGACTTTATACGTTACCTTCTTGAGAAACATCTCTGCCGCGCCTCGCTTCCACTCCCGCGCAGACTGCAACGCGGAAGCCAGCTGGTCCTTCTCGAATAAAGCGAGTGGTATCTGCTGCCCGCGACGAACTAGCGCCTCCACGCTGTGCATGTATGGGTACAGGTCTTTGGACTGCATCTCTTCCACCTGGAATTATGAAGTAATGACACAGAATAATAATAAGTACTACGTACAGAAGTTTTACTTCGCGAAGGTATTTAAAAAAATGCAGTATGCTCAATGTTATTAACAATATGGTGTAATTTAGCCTGTCTCAAGAGTCAAGCACCATTTTGTTGACAAAGTAACGTCAGTGATCGGCACTGCGCCGAAGCTATAGGGCTGACTTCGGTAAAATGATGTGGGAAAATGGCGGAGGAAATACATGATTTAGCATGAATTATTTAGGCAGTAAAATACTGCACAGTATTTAGTACAACATTTTCTTTATTTACTTCCATCATACACAAGAATACGCGTGCGTGAGTTAATGTTCGCTCGTATGTGAGGCCTTGTCAAATAGTATCCTGTAGGTGGGCCATCGTGCGTGTTTTGTTTTCGATGTAAACTCGCGGAGATGAACAGGCCTGGTTATGATTAATTTATAATGGGGAAATCGATAACAGCGTGCATGAACATACCGACCAATGTAAAGCTTGCTAAAAGACATGATCATGATTGGTACTACCGTTCTACTCATAAAAAAAATTAAGACAGTCTCCTAAAGTACGGCCAACTAGCAGCGATACAAAAGGTCGATTCGACTGTCGAACTGACAATCTATTCTGTCTCTTCCCATCTTGTGTATTTGTCGTTATGTCTCGTTCTCCCGCCAAAATATGTCAAAGTCAAACCCTCAGGCTGGGTTGCACCATCTTACTTTAACTTTGACAAACGTCAAAAATCTGTCAAATTCCATACAAAAAACACCGGTTATCGTCATAGTTACCGTTAAAGATAGGTGGTGCAACCCACCCTTACTATTCCAAATGACCATGACATTGGGTTTGTTTACATTTGGTATCGCTTCTCGTTGGCCGTACTTTACAGCTATTACAAAAGGAAGCGTTCGCAAAATGTTCTCCCGCATACCGCGGTCGTTCTCAATTGACTTGTGAAAGTGGTTTCCTGAATGCGGGACCCGTCACAAAAATGTCCCACAACACGAATGTGGGCCTGAACAATACTACACTGGTCATCACAAAAATCGACCCTCCCGCGACAAGCACTTTCAAACGTATACATCCCCACTTCCCACCAATATTGGCACCATTTACCTAGTTCTAAACTTCATTTCATTAAAGGAAAGGTTTTTAGCCCAAAAATGTGTTTGTAGAATCCTGAATCCAGAGTCACTTCTTCAAAAAACAGGTAGTTACTCTTGAGCCAACTTTTATGGCTATAAAACTGTTAAATTGGGATTAATCCCTATCCATCTGTTAAAGAGGACACGTGAGATCATTATTTGGTTTTATAACCATAAAAATTGGTCTAATTGATCCCAGAGGTGAGCCCAAAGTGAGGTCTTTTTTCAAGTCACATTTATTATACATCGCGTTTATGTTAATCGTTTATTAAGAAATTAAATGTGTTTTTCTTTAAGGATATTTATTGGGCTTTCAAATAACACCAATATTGTTGGGGCACCATGATTGTGTCAGTAGAAACGAGTTTTCCTGTAAAACGTAGGTGGGCCGATTTTTGTGATGACCAGTATATTATTGAAAAAAAGATGGTATAATCTGGTACCTTTGCCAGCCAATCCCTTGCATGCTGTGCAGCCGAGTGCAACGCGTGATGCGAAGGCAGCGCCGCATCAATACGCTCTGCGGCTGCCAGTAATGCTGCCAACTGCCCAAGCGTGGTGTAGGGCGGATTCCCGTCGGAGCCCGCGCCCTCGCCAGGGGCGGAGCCCGAGCTGTCGCGAGCTTTTGACGTGTCGATTAGGAGGGCACGCGCGCGCTCCTCCCACTCTTCTACTTGGGCTGAAGGAAAGACAAATATTTAGACAAATATTTCACGTAGATTTTCGATTACATTTTTGTCCATTTTAGTGTCTAATGCCTGTTGTCACCATCAATCCCTAATTTTTAAGTGACCCCTATGGTAACACGTAACAGGAATTTTGTTTTCATAGGGGTCACTTAAAATTAGGGATTGATGGTGAAAACGGACACTAGTCCATCAACATGCCGCTTCATTTTTTTTTTTATACACAACGAGGAAGCTTTTGGCCTGTATTTAAATTGTCACACAACGCACCCTGTTTTGAAATACACAAAAAATGTTGCTATAGTCTATCCAATATAGCTTGATTAGAATGACGGCTGTCAAACGAATGTGACTAGTGATGGGTATGTTTCGTACGGTTCACATAGATGTATCGATAAGTTTTCGAAAAAATGATATAAAAAAATGCACCTAATTTTTCTTCATATCTTTATTCATAAAAATGACAATTATGATTTAAATTTAAAGACAGTAAAATTTAAAATTCATGTCAAGGGTGTACAACCTAAGTCGTAGTCATTATCATCAGTGTTCTTCAGTGGTTTTTTCCTCTCGCTAGAGGGCGGTGGGCATCTCTTCTAGAGCAACGGTGCTATGAATACCCAAAAAATTACCGGTGATTGATTTCCGATGTTTGATTGTTTAAGAATGAAATGTTTTTTGGTTTTTAATAGTGAACATTTAGAAAAACGTATAACTTGACTTAAATATGTTAAAAAATTAGTTAGAAATTTTTTTTGTTAAATATGTTAAAAAAATAGTTTTAATTTAATATGACATTTGTCGATATGTCCCAACACTAACATTTTTGTAACTCGAGATAACCTTGTAGAGACGTCGTTAATACTCTAGCTTGATTTTTATAATTTCGAATTACTACTTATTGGTGTAATTTAACGCTGCATTTACACGAAATTATCATTTTTATTGGAAGCACTGTCGTCGAAAATATTGTTTGTAGGTCAGACGTGAATTATTTCTTGTCCGCTAATATTTAGCTCTCATTGAACGCTACTACAAAGTTATGTCGTTACTTTTGATGGCAGCTGTCATTCTAATCAAGCTATATTGGATAGACTATAGAAAGACGCGCGATCTATTTTGAGGCATATTTGCGTAAGTTTGAACATCTTTCTTGTTTCAACTTGTTACAACAAAAGCAGCATTCCATAAAAAAAGATAGAAACAGACAATAAATCTCATTTACAAACTATTTTTATTTATAACTAGGCTTACCTTTGAGTTTGCATAGCGCAGCGCGTTCAGTCTCTATTTGGTGATGAGGCAACACGCGGGAGGCATCCTCTAACAACCTGTCAACCAAACAATCACGTTAAAAGAATAATTATTACGAAAGAATTGCTATAGATGATACTATTTAAGCTTCAACCAAACCAACGCGTGCAAATCGCCATCGCCGACGCGATCACAGGCGAATGATAGGATGCGCGACCTGTAGCCTTATTCACGTAACAAAACTTCCAACGACAACAAAACACTGAGATGCGATCCTATCGAGTAATCGTTCTATCGAAAATGACCTTTGAGAATATGGATTTAGAACTGTTTTTCAATGGGATGACTTCTGAATGTCAGCGAGATCTTGACTGTCAAAATACGTGAATTAGGCGACTGCCATTGATAGCGCCTGTCCTGTCATTAGCTTAAAATTAACCTATTATCGCGTCGGCGAAGTCGTACCACTTTCGTTCATTTCAGCAAAGTGACGTCCACTGCTGGACAAAGGCCAAGGTTTTCCACAATGAACGGTCCTGCGCTGCCCGCATCCAGGTTCTTCCTGCAACCTTTACCAGATCGTCGGTTAACCTAGTAGGAGGCCTGCCCACGCTACCACTTTTACAAAGCGCTTCAATTTAGCCCTAAAATCGAGTTACTGACCTGTCGATGACCTCGGGCGTGAGTCCCGAGCTGTCCTCCCGGTGTGTCTGGACGTCCTGCAGGAAGCGAGCTTGCTGCAAGCGAGCCTGCAGCGGAGCTAGTTGCGGCAGTACGATGCACAGCCGCGAGCCTAGTTCTACCACCTGAAAAGGAGATAGGATTAGCAACCTTGATGCAGTCTAAAGCCTGGTCCGTGAGCACGTAGAATCCCGTCCAATGACCCCAAGCTACCCATCCCTATCGCTCGCGCGTAATTATATTGCTGTCGCGACTGTGCGACGCGCGCCCGCAGTGAGTGTGCGAGCGCGACAGCAACATAATTACGCGCGAGCGATAAGGATGGGTAGCTTGGCGTCATTGGACAAAATTCTACATGCTCGCAGACCAGACTATACACACCAAACTCATCAACCCGCCGACACAACCCACGTGCATACTATAGATCTTAGCAATCGGTTGCTAGTTGTACATTAGCAACGCGATTGCTGCACCGACTTATAACAGCGCCGCGTTTAAATACAGGTGGCGCTAATTTCCATACATTTTTGGCAGACGCGCAACTAGCTAAGATTCGTAATAACCCCGTTGGAGGCTTGGTGTTGCTGGCTTTATTTCAAAAGATTATGTCGACACCTAGTACCCACGCGGCATGTCTGTGACTTGTGTACGCACTGATTTGCGCGCCGACACTCATAAAATCTGCTGAATTCGTGCCGCTGACAAATTTTTCCTATTTGAATGAGATGTGATGACGCCAACAAAAAAGTCAACTCATTAGCATAATCACGAAAAGAAATCATCGTTATTGAAGTACTTGAATAATTTTGTAAAAATTGACACAAATACATGAGAATGTAGTAAACAACTAACCTCTTCCAGCTCCCTAACGCTGGAAGCATCAACCTTGTCCAAGTCCTGATTCAATAGCTCCGCGGCGCGCGTTTCAAACTCCGCCGTCTGACGGAGCACCTCTTTCACTGCCGACCCTATAAAAAAGAGATTCATAAATTACTTATAACAAGCTAAAGGAGTAGTATACCTTTTATTTACATAGATCATTTGACAAAACAATTTAAACGTCCTACAAATTAATGATACAAGCTCAACACAAAAGAAAATGGAATACCTAAAAACGTCGATTATCTGCTAACTATCCCGCCTCCCCCAATGATTTCCACATCGCCCGGTTGGTAGCGACCTGTATCCAGCGCCTTCCTGCTACCTTTATGAGGTCCACCTTGTGGGTGTCTCACGCTGCGTTTTCCGGTACGTGACCACTCCTGAACCTTGCTGCTCTATCGGCCGTCACTATGTGCCCTGTCCATTGCCACTTTAGCTTGCTAATTCGTAGGGCTTTCAGTGACTAATATACTCAGTTTTATTGAATAACTTACCTTCTGGCAACACACACGCCAGCCCGTCAATTTCGGCTGCGAACAGCGTCAGCTCGTGAATAGTGAGGCGGTACTTCGGGTCGTGGTGGCGGGTGCGGGTTCGCATCTTGTTGAGGTCAAGCTGCTGTATGACGCTGGCGCACTTCTCAGCGTCTTCGATCGCCGTTTCTAACGCGCGGACGAGATCCGTTTTGTGCATCTGGAAGTATGTGGAACTATTAGATTAGCTTTCACAAGAAACTCAAATTCTGAGTTTGATTTCCATTTGGCAATGAGCTTGATGCCAAAATTGAATGAACAAACCAAGTCTATGCAATTTATTTTAATATAAAGATTTACTATGATCAAAAAGATGCAACGACAATCTCAGAAATAATCTTAGAACTAAGTACACATTGTATGACATTTGTAGATGGCGGCTGGGACGTACTCGGGTTTATTGTAGCCTGATACGCACGCGCAAAACATGTGTACGCCACGTGGCAACGTATAAAAACGCATTAAGCTGGCAACTTATTTGACACGAGTTAATTTTGCCACCATTGAAGATCAAACGAACTTAACAAGTGAAGTTCGATCATTATTATGTGAGCAGCTTCATTCGACGCGATTTACGTTTTACGGATTTACAATCCGTTGTGCTATCCACTGTACCCTTACACTATCCCTACCTTCAGATCGTGAGCCTTCTTCAAGTGCGCCCTTAGACCATCCAGGTCGCAAGTCTTGGGCGTGTCAGGGTCCAGGGCATTTTGAACTGCTTCAGCCCACTCCCGGAACAGTTCCGACTTCTTCTTTAGCTTGTCCAGCATGGCTGGCAGCTCGTCCAGGGTGTAGCGGTATCTATAGAGATAATAAGTTGAGGTCGCGGATGTATAGACGACAGTACATAGCATTTAAAAATGAATAAGAGGACAAAAAGTGATAATTGAAACTTAATTATCAGAATAAGAGTTATTCATTCAACCAGTCATCTATGCCTAACTATGGTCTGCGCAAACAACTTCCAATTTTGCAGCTAGTACATCGCCTCACGTTTGTATTGAGTAAATGGTGACAGTTTCACAGGAAGACGCGTAACTGAAATATAATCTCTAGCCAAGAAACAAAGGGTTACCACTCTTGTATAGTCTTCAGTCTGACAAATGTTGAATCGAAAATGCAACAAAAGATTTTACAAGTCATAGTACTGTATTTAACATAGAATCTAAAAAAAATATTTTCTTTTTCTGTTTCTGTTTACTCAATTTTTGAAAACGATACCTATGTATAAACTATTTGTGAAAACTATTTTGGCAAATGTGAAGTTTAATTGGTAACTCTATATGTGGTATAGAATGCTGTTTGTTTTCCTAACAATAAAATAAAAATAAGTAAAGCTTCAACCACACCAACGCGTGAAGATCGCCATTGCCGCAGCGGCGCGATCACAGGCCAATGACAGGTCGCGCGACCTATGACAGTTCACGCGACCTGTCATTGGCCTTTGATCGCGTTTTGATCGCGCCGTTCGATCGTGTTGGTGTGGTTGAAGCTTAGACAACAAAGTAATTGAGAATGTTACTAGGTATGCAAAATCACTTGAAACCTATGTTACAGTTAAGCTTTTACATTTACAAATACATTAGTTTTTATTTCATTCAAAAATACCCAGTAGTTATGATTTTATAGGCATTCAAAGTTCGCTTAAATATTGAGTCCCGCCGACGGTCACGTGACCCCGCGTGACGTACATTCACAGTGTCCACTCACTAGAAAACGGATTTAAACATACTTAAATACATTTTTTTTTGTAAATACAAACTTATAATACATATTAACACCCAGACCCATCACAGAAATTAAAATTGAACCAAACCCAAACTTAATGCGATTGTGTCGTTTTATTGCGAATTACCTTCAGCTCCATCATTGGACCCTGATTACTATATAGAATTAAAGTACTCATCAATACAAAACGAACGAGCCCAAACTCGATGGATTTAAGTCGTTTTATTATAGAGTTCCTATGGCCACCTTCCAGCTCCATCATCAGATCAGCTCCATGTCATCATAATATTGCATGGTCATCCAAATCACATGTGTTTGCGAAATTTCAGCTTAATCGGTTTCCTGGAAGTGGGTCTTAATTCAGCTTGCAAGATTCCACCCATACAAATATGAGCCAGTCACTGTAATATGACGTCACGCGCATAAAATGGCGGGCTGGCCGCCGCCCGCACTTTTAAAATTCAATATCTTGGAAACTAATTGACGTATCTAAATAATTCTTTCACGTGTATTTTTTATTTTTAACAGAGAATACAGAAAGCTAAAAAACAAAATTAGTGTACATTCTTCATTCTTAGCCAATAAAGGACTCGCGTCCAAATAAACACTTTTGAGTGCCACTTCTTTGCCTACCTCAGTCTGTGCAGATGCGGCGCGCAGTCACACAGCTCTTGATAGTGGCGCAGGCACGCCACGTGCGGCGTGCACGAGCACGTCACGCACGACAGGAAGCACGTGGTCTTGCACAGGTGGCACTGCCGCTCGTCGTCTGGTAACAACTCGAAGGCCTCGCGCTCCGCTTCCGTTACGCCCTGGGAGAGGATTTTATGGTTAGAATAGCAGATTAGTCTAAAGCCTGGTCCGTGAGCACGTAGAATTTTGTCCAATGACTGTGCGACGGGCGCCCGCAGTGAGTGTGCGAGCGCGACAGCAACATAATTACGCGCGAGCGATAAGGATGGGTAGCTCGGAGTCATTGGACAAAATTCTACGTGCTCACGGACCAGGCTTTAAAGATTTTGAAAAGTCAAATGGCAAAAATCAGAACTAATAACTGAGTAAATACAAATGAGTAGGTCATCTTCATAGAAACGTGGATTAGCGGGGTGTTGCGCCGAATTTTGTCAGTGTGTGCGTGCGCGCCGCATACGTATTGGCGCGCTCACTTACAAACCGCGCTCGGTGCGTTTCTATGAAGATAACCTACTCATTTGTATTAACTCTGCTAATAATCCAGTATTGATAGTAGCGCCCTCCTGTCAATTGCATAATTTTATGGTTGTCCAACGTGGCAAAAATCTTAACTAATAAATGTATTGATAGTAGCGACCTCCTTTGATATCGTCAGTCAATGACGTTTAGAGCTCTTTCACATGAGCAATTTCTCGACAGGGCGAGATCACAATGTGCGCTTTGCGAATTTGCACAGCGGCTTGCTTCGCAGCGATATCGCACAAGCTGCGATTATGCAGCGTGCATTGCTATCGTTGCGTGCTTGCAATGCGCACTTAGTGCAAACTTAGCCCCGCCCAGAAATAAACTGTCAAACATGATTCTCCAAATTTGTATGGCAGAGATAAGCTCTGACGTCATGTTTTTTCCAAATCAAGTCTGCTACGCATTCACATAGGCAGCCAACGCCCCGGCGACGCATAGCGACGGAGTGTGGAGTAGTGCACAGCACTCGCTCGTCCTACACACTTGGAGCGCACTGTAGCAGACGAGGCGAAGAAAATCAGCAAGACTTGGAGCAAGGTCAAACGCGAAGCTCAAGACCGAACGCGATGGAGGACTGTTGTGGACGCCCTCTGCCCCATCTAGGGGACATAGGACCTTAATGCTCGTTTTCACCATCAATCCCTAATTTTTAAGTTTCCCCTATGGTAACAAATAACAGGAATTTTGTGGTCACTTAAAAATTAGATTGATGGTGATAACGGGCAATAGGCCCTTAAGTAAGTCAAGTCCTACACTCACCCAGTCGAGCAGTCCCTTCCGCAGCTTCCGCTCGTCGTGCAGCATGGTCCGCATGTCTCTGTAGGCAGCCAGCGCCACGGTGACGCATAGCGATGGAGCATGGAGTAGTGCACAGCACTCGCTCGTCCTACACTCACCCAGTCTAGTAGTCCCTTCCGCAGCTTCCTCTCGTCGTGCAGCATGGTGCGTATGTCCCTATAGTGTGTCGTCCTACACACTTGGAGCGCACACAGACGAGGCGAAGAAAATCGGCAAGATCGAACGCGAAGCTCAAGGCCGAACGCAATAGAGGACTGTTGTGGACGCCCTCTGCCCCATCTAGGGGACATATGCCCGTTTTCACCATCAATCCCTAATTTTTAAGTGACCCCTATGGTAACAAATAACAGGAATTTTGTGGTCACTTAAAAATTAGAGATTGATGGTGATAACGGGCAATAGGCCCTCAAGTAAGTCAAGTCCTACACTCACCCAGTCGAGCAGTCCCTTCCGCAGCTTCCGCTCGTCGTGCAGCATGGTCCGCATGTCCCTGTAGGCGGCCAGAGCCACGGTGACGCTGAGGGCGTTGGCTTCCAGCGCCATCTTGCACACTAACTCGTCGTGGGAGAACACGCAGTAGCGACGGAGCGTGGAGTAGTGCGCGATGCACTCGCGACCCATTTTTAGCTGGGGGATAATATATTTCATAAATAAAAACACATTAATAGAAGATCCGTAGGGAAAACAAAGTAACCGACACAGCCCGCGGAATAGGCTATAGTTTCCTAAAAACTTTTAGTCCGTCAATTACATTATCGAAAAATATTGGACTCACGTATATTTTTATATGTCAATCAAACAAGTAATTACGAAGTTATGATGCGTTGAAGTTCCGCGTGACGTCACAAAGTGGCATACTTTTAAGCACACCTTGACATCACGGGCCTCTTCTTTTGAACTTTGGCACGTTTTCTCTTTCAATTTTGAAAAAGTGAAAAATAAGTGTCGAATATTTTTTGATAAGTCAACCGACGGACTAATTTAAACTTCCTTTTTACCCAGGAAACATCCCTATTGTCAAACTCAAATGATAGCGGGCGGGACACATAGCCATTGGGGCAAAAAGTTTTCCAGTGGCGCGACCACGGACCGGAAAACGCAGTGTAGGTAGGCCGACGATCAAGTGAAAATCGCGGGAAGCATCTAGATGCGAGCCGCGCAGGATCGGTTGTTGCCGAAATCCATGGGAGAAGTCCAATAGTGCACACTACATTTTCTGAACCATGGTTGCCACTCGAGAAGTTTTGTGTCCTAAAATAAACAACTCTTAATGCGTCGTCTGCNGCTCGTTTTATAATTCCCCATTGTTTTTTACTTAATTCTTTTCTCTCCTAAGAGGCAAATAGGAGCATGGGCCGAAGCCAAATGCATCTTCAAAATTTTTCGAACTATCCTGGTATTTATTAATTTCAGCCAGACGTCCACTGCTGAACATAGGCCTTCCCAAATGACTTCCACAATTCCACATCGCCCGGTTGGTAGCGGCTTGCATCCAGCGCTTTCCTGCTACCTTTATTATGGTGGAAATTATGTGAAAAACTTTTCTACAAGAGGTTATAATATGTTCGACTGTATGTATTTTTTTTTCTATGTATGTTCACCGATTACTCCGTCAATTGTGGACCGATTTTCAAAATTCTTTTTTTGTTCGATAGGGTACACTCCTGAGGTGGTCCCATTGTCACCAAGTTAGGATCTGATGATGGGATCCTAAGGAAATCGAGGGCAACCCTCAAATTTTATAGGCACGTATATCGTTTTTCAAACTTTTTCTTAGGTTATTCAAGTATTTGCTCCTGGAAATCATCATCTCATATTGATGAGCCGGTAAATTTAGAACATTTCTTGAGCTTGGCACTGAGCAGGCTGCCACCGACTCCGAAAATATCAATCATGGTATACATTTGTCCTAATAAATAAATAATGTAATTATTTTCTACTTTTAGTGCAGGATTTTTGGAGTAGGTTTTAATTTTTTTGTTAAAATTAATCCTGTTGACAACAAATGAATCATACAATGATTCAAGCTATGCAGGTGTCGTTTACGTGCGTGTAACAATGGAAGGAAGGCTTACATTATCTCCAACAGCTGTGTTATTATCGATATTTAGTTAACTATATCCAGTTTGTAAGTGATAGAGAACGATTAGCTAATCTATTTTTGACATTGAATAATTGTTTGTAACTAACTGGGCTTGTTTCCAATGAGTCACACACAAACGAGTAGGCAACACTGTTAGGCCCACCATACACGGACAGCTCGAGCAGTTAGTCAGTGATCAACATACACGGACCACTCTTGTAGTCAATAGTCAACAGCTTGAAGCTGCCAGTGATAACTGCTCGAGCAGTTGGTTCAACAGTTCGTGCGGTGGGCAATTTAAAATCAGTAGTACCATGGGTTTTGAAGAGGAAGCACTGACGACAGCTCGAGCACTCAGTGTATGGCTGGCGACTGCTTGACCGCACGATGAAAATTCACCGTGCTGTCGACCGCCTGAATCAGTTGCAATTGCTCGAGCGGTTCGTGTATGTGCGTCCATAGAACTCTGCAGTTCACTGTGCAGTCGCAGCTTGAAGCTGTCGACCTTGACTGCTTCAAGCGGTCCGTGTATTGCCGGCCTGAGAAAAAAATTACTAGATCTATACAAAAAATACCAAACTACAATTGGTAATTTTGGGATAGGACACATAGGTACCTAGGTAATTTAGTTTAGCCCCCGACGGGGTTAATGGGACTATAATTTGTTTATTTATTTTATTTTATTTTATTTTATTTTATTTGTTTAACAATGTTTCAACAGCATTAAATTAATTTAAAGATTAGTTATTAGCAATTTGTATTGCACAAATTACTAATAGTCCCGTTAGCCTCTTGTGTTAAGCTAAATAAGCTTGTGTTACGAGTGGGCTCACCACAAAAGTCGGCGATGGGATTCGAACCCGCGATCCTCGAATCTCGAGTCGGCCAGTCCGACCACTTCACCTTTGGGCTATCGGGGCTATAGGTAAATACCTACTTGTACTACACAAATTCGTTCGTTCATTCGTTTCAGCCCAATGACGTCCACCGCTGGACAAAATCCTTCGCCAAAGATTTTCACGACGACCGGTTCTTCTTTTTTTTTTCGTCGGGAAATGCTTTGCGCATACCCACTGTCCGGTGGGGACAGTCAGTGGGTTATGTGGGACTCTCCCCACCAGAAGGTACCCACTAAACCCGACGGTGTCCTCCGGGGCCATTGAAACGAAGCCGCGTGTTACTTCTCCTATGTTCTTCTGATTAATTTCGTTGCGGGTCCAATGACAGTTTAACTTTTCCCCGGGACAAACTTGACCTTCATTGGTTGGGTTTTTTATGGCGGTCAAGCTGTTAGATCCTGGCTACACAGGAGTTGCAGCGGTGTGAACGAGAGGTGGGAATAGTCCCGAAAAAAAGCCGCGAGTTATTGTCCTAATATTGGACATTCGTCCGTGGCTCCTTCTCAGGCTACGGCTCGCTCTTGGGCGAGCCCCTCCGGCTTCAAGAGTGATGGTGGTTCGTGATTATTCCCACCTCTCGTTCCCACCGCTGCAACTCCTGTGTAGCCAGGATCTACAGCTTGACCGGCAATAACCCAACCAGTGAAGGTCAAGTTTGTCCCGGGGGGAGTTAAACTGTCATTGGACCAAATTATGTTAGCTTTTCAATCAGAACAAAGTGTTTAACATAACCGCCTCTGTGGTCTAATGAAGATCATCTGTCTCAGATCCAGAGGTTTCGTATTCGATTCCCAGTGGGGGCAATTTTTCTGCTCGGTTTGGTTGGGGTTCTTGTTCTAAGTCCGCCTGGTTAGCTACCACCACCTTACCTAAGTATGTCGCAATAACAACAATAGTTTAGTGTGTTCCGAGTAGGAGATTAAGATAACCGGTTCTTCTGTGTTTGAGGATTCCGGGTGAAGCTCGCTTCCACCTCCGGCCTGATCATCACATTCCATCAGGTGAGATGCAAGCCAAGAGTTTTTCCGTAATAGATTTAAAAAGGTTTATACTTCTAGTGTTAGATTTAGCCGCCTTGCCGCGCAAAAGTCAATTACTTTTCGAAAAACAATAAATTACCATTTTATAACTAAGTTAATCAAGTTGCCTAAAAGTTACAGTTTTTCTATGCAACGCATAACATAATGTAGACAAATGATGTCTGTCTGTAAACGTAGGTAAAGGTATGTACCACTCAGCATGGTGTCGTAGCATCTCAGTAGATAGATAATGCCAAGACGCTGGTCTTCCGTGGACACCCAGAATTGCCATACAAAATCTATGGGAGAACCACGTTTTTATAGGTCATACAAATTAATGTTTATTAGCTTTGACAAATATCTATTTATTGAAAGGAAAACTACCAAACATAGAATAAACTGTTTTCAGGGTATTGTTTTCAGGAAGCCGATGGATGCAGGCCGCTACCAACCGGCCAATCTGAAAATAATTGCAGGAGGCCTATGTTCAGCAGTGGACGTCCTGTGGCTGAAATGATGATGCCGATGATGATGTTACCCAACTGTGCAAAGAAGGGTAATGTTCGGAGTCGTCGTTCGCCGTTCGCGCCGAATGCTCNCAGTCGTCGTTCGCCGTTCGCACCGAATGCTCGCGTGCGATCGTGTTCGTGTCCTGTTCGCTTGTCAATAATGTCTAAGCTCGTGAAGTGTTCAACATGCAATATCGTGATCAACGAGGTTCTTGCATTTATTTGTAACAAGATAGATGTAATGGACGAGGAAAGCATCAGTCGTATATGTGTGAGTGCTTTCTCGGAAAGTGATATCGTAACTGCTAAAAACTTGCTGNACAATAAATTTTTTCAATTTCAAAATTTCAATTAATCATTATTTCAGCCACAGGACGCCCACTGCTGAACATAAGCCTCCTCCAATGATTTCCATATCTCCCAGTTGGTAGCAGCCTGCATCCAGCGCTTTACACTTACCCAGTCAGCCGGCGTGAAGTTGACGGCCTCCGCGAAGTTATATCCTTGATTGAAGCCCGCGTGATACGCGCGCGGGAACGTGATCACGAATTCGCCCGCGTGTTGGTCCGTTCTGAAAAAAAGAAAAGTTTAAGTAATAACCAGTTACGAGGTAGGATAGCCTGTTCTGATTAAGGATTCCGGGTATTTAAAGCTCTCTTCTACAACCTGGACATAAGTTCCCCTGGCTAACCTGGAAGTTTTAAAATAGAATTCTGTTCAGGTGGGTATTCTCAGATGGTTCAAATTGGGAGTGCAAATGCATGAAGCACATGATGTCGTGCCCGGCGCCCAAACAACTGCACGCAGGAAGATTTAATGAATGCTACTGACAACGCCACTCTTGTAGCAGAGTTTTGGGTTGACACTGTGTAGGTTTGTTGTCGACACGACAAGAAGACCTTCGGCCTGAACACTTTATATCAGATAGACGCAGGTCAAGAGCTTCTTCATGCCGGGCTGCAGCTGGGACAGCTCGGGGCCTGACGTCATGGCTGCTGTGACGTCATACCTGAACACGGGCACGCCCGCCTTCATGAGCACGTTGGGGTTCATGATGGTGACGAGCTGGTGCAGCAGGTCCGGCTGCAGCTGGAACAGCTCGGGCGCCTCCGACTTCATAGCGGCCTCGAACTGCTCCGCCTTCGAGCTTGGAACTCCGTACCTGGGAAAAAAATAGAAAATGTAGGAGCAGTGACGGCGTAGCATGGATTAGCACCCGGGGCGATCCGGGTGTGTGATCCGATCGGCACTGCGCCGAAGCTGACTTCCGTAAAATGATGTGACGTGAGGTGCCAAACTGCGGAAAATGGCGGAGGAAATACATGATTTAGCATGAATTATCCCAACTAATATTATAAATGCGAAAGTAACTCTGTCTGTCTGTCTGTCTGTCTGTTACGCTTTCCCGCTTAAACCTCGCAACCGATTTTGATGAAATTTGGCATAGAGATAGTTTGAGTCCCGGGAAAGAACATAGGATAGTTTTTATCCCGGTTTTTGAAACAGGGACGCGCGCGATAAAGTTTTTCTGTGACAGACAAAATTCCACGCGGGCGAAGCCGCGGGCGGAAAGCTAGTCATGAATAATATTAACTACTTATTTACCTCTCAGTGTCTTGAGGCAACTTAAAAAAGTACATTCTGTGTTTTTATTATTATTTAGGCAGTTAAATACTGCACAGTATTTAGTACACAATTTTCTTTATTTTCTTCCATCATACACAAGTATACGCGTGCGTGAGTCAATGTTCGCTCGTATGTGAGTTAATGTGAGTCTTTGTCGAATAGTATCCTGTAGGTGGGCCATCGTGCGTGTTTTGTTTTCGATGTAAACTCGCGGAGATGAACAGGCCTGCTAGTACTGACTCATGAGCTTTGACACTAATCCCTCCTCCCCCTTTGACATTGCATGTCAGAAGCCAGACTCCCCCTGTAAAAGAACCCTCCTATGTTCCCAACATCTGATCGGACTCTGTAGCGTTCCTTGGAGGCAGTGGATTGCCGGTGAAACGATCCACTATCCTCTTCGATCGATAACAAACACACTGCATTTAGGAACGCGGGTTCGAAAACCGGTGTCGCTCGACTATTGTGGTGAGCCCACTCTTGACACGAGCATATTCAGCTAGTATCTTTAAAACATTATTGCATAAAAATAACTCAAGAGAAAATAAACTAATGCTAAGTACTTACCAGGTCTTCGGTTCTCCCCAGTGCAAGTAGTTGATGGAGTAGCTCCAGTGGTCCTCGTTGTGCCAGCAGAACGTCGCGAAGCACATGCCCACGTATAACCAGGGGACCTACGAACACAACAGTTTGTAGAAGCGATATAGAGAGAGAAAGAGAGTAAACGTGAACTGCCATTTGGGGCCAGTTTTACTGATTTCAGTCATAGGACGTCCACTGCTGAATTTTTTATATTTAAGATAGTTATCACGCTATAATAAATAAATAAATAAATAAATAAATATCCTTAGACATTTTTACACTGCGTCGCTAGCCCCAAACTAAGCAAGGCTTGTACTATGGGTACTAGACAACGGATATAAACAGGTACTTAAATACTTTTTTTTTTTTTGTAAATACATACATATTATACATAGAAAACACCCAGACCCGTCACAGAAATTAAAATTCATCATTTCAATTTCTGCCCGGCCGGGAATCGAACCCGGGACCTCTCGGCATAGTAGTCCGTTATGAACCACTACACCAAACGGCCGACAATAATACACAAATAATCAAGAAAAGGTGGTTGTTGGTAGCTTTTATTTCCAGGCATTTCAATAAGACACCTGTGAAACCAGCAGTTGTACGATTGCTGACAAAACTAGCAAGTAATAAAATAGACCCAGGCAATATTATATTAAACATACAAATAGACAATTTCATTTACCTACGAAACAAAAAATATAGAGCAAGAAAACTCCAATCCGGTCTTGCCAGCATTATGGAGTGTAGACCTGTGGTAAATAAGAGGAGCCTGCTCCTCCAATCAAGTCCTCCAAGTGCACTGATAGTGCCTTGCTGATAGTATTAAGATAATGGATGATAGTTGGTATGGTGAAGGTCGCTGAAAGAACCTGGATGCAGGTAGCGCAGAACCGGTCGGTATTTAAATCCTTGAGGGAGACCTATATTCAGCAGTATATGTCCTATGGCTGAAATAATGATGATGCTGATGATGATAATATCAATTATAGCCTGACCAGGAACATAAAAACCCTGGCATAGAGGCGCGTCAATTGCATTTGATAGTGCAACACTGAGTACAGTCGTACCTGTGTTAAATTAATAGGCTAACTTTATGTATCAGGATTCAGGATTACGGGCTAATTTGATATTTTCATAAATTAACGAAGAAATATTATTATAGGTAACCTGGTTTAAATAAATTAAATGAAACCATCAATCGAGCTAGTAGGATTTATTTTATTATTCATCAATAATCAAATTCAGAACTTGAATATTCAACTGCAATGTCTGCTCATGAACGCTTCAAACTCGGTACTTCTTTCCCAATTCCATAAAATTCAACACTTAGAAAGTGACAAAAAACTTTAAAATAGGTAGTTGAAACAAACCACAGCTAATTTTCATAGTGGACTGTACTATACGGTAAACATGTCAGTCAATTTGACAACCTTTGTTGGAAACATTATTCAATGAAAATATTGTCCGAACCCTTGGTATTTCTCTTCGACAAATACTTTAACACATTGTGAACCACTTTTCTTTCACGACTATAAAAAGATTTTAGCAATTTCATTCACAAAATCCATTGCGCACATTTAAAATAAAGTTTGTTTACACTTTGACAGCAATAGATTGACATGCAAGGTGACATGTCAATGAAGTTTTCAGTTACTGTTGCCATTAAAATAAATTAGTACCATTAGTTTTCCGCAACATGGCGAGGGTTTTTATGTTCCTGGTCAGGCTATACATATAGTTGTTGCAATTCACGAAGGCGAGTATTTACATGTGTGGTGGCTCGCTACTGTTTGTTTTTCAAGTTTTAAGAGACAGTACACTATCGATATGTACACGTACACAAACAAGTAAAGCTCAATTGCCTTAGTGAGTTGCAAGACCTATACATACCTTCATCCCAGAGATGTCGGCGTTGATGTGGCCGAGTACCGAGCCCTCGAGCACGGGCAGGTTGTTGAGGTTCCAGCTGCACTCCGCGTACTGTTGCTCGCCCGGGTACAGGTGAGCGCTCGACTTGGTCGGGAAGCCTGTTCGAGAGCACCAAGTTAAATACATAACACTTATATGAGTGAGAATAGGTGGCTAGACATTATAAAGCAAGAAAGACCTTGCCACAAGCACTGGCGGATTACAGGCGGTTTCAAAGTCCGCTTTGAAACCGCCTATAATCCGCGCAGCGAACACGCCGCGTCTCAGCGGCGAAGACGTCGCGATTACGAGGCGGACACGTCGCGAATACGCAACGTTTTCGCATCGTGTTGCCGCTCCGCTTTGAAACCGCTTGCAATCCACCAGTGTGGCAGCTCACTAATGCTGGATTTCTATATTCAATCCTAATCCAAATTATACGGATTTGGATTGTCAACTGTCAAATTTTAATATGTTTTTGGCCAAAATAACTGCGGTTTTTGATGTTTTTACATTTTTATATTGTTTATAAGACTATTTAAACAATATTAAAGTGTAAATGCATCGAACATTTTGGAAATATAATCTAAAACTGAATTCAAGTTGACAGTTGTAATCCGGATTTGGACAAGGATTGAATATGGGAATCGGGCGTAAGTCGTTTAATGCATTCTATGATAATGCTAGCAAATCAGATCAATGGCCAATTTTACTGAATGAACTACATCTAGTAACTTAAAATTCCTAGTACTTTTGAAGATCTTGTCGTCTTCCGGAATCCGGTATTAATCTCATTGTAAAATCATGGCAAGAATGAAGATAGAGAACTCCAGATAATACAGTATTATTGAAAATTGTAAGAGCCTGGAAGAGACCTAGAAACCATTAAAATGTGACTTACCAGATCCATGGTCCATGGAGTGCAGATCGGCGCCGTACTCGACAGTGACGTCCTCGTCGATGGACGACACCACGCGCCAAAACTCTTTCTCCACCGTCGACGTGGGCACCATCTAAGACAAGTTTGCATTTATTCATCTATTTACTTTTATTTATTTAGGACAAACTGCGTTTACTGCCGAGCTACGATGCAGACCGTGATAAAATCTTATCGATGACTTTAAACGATAAAAAATGCCGCGACAAAAGTTTATCGCGGCGCGCATCCTACGCCTACTGGTTGAGTTTAAGTTATGGTGCGTCCACATTGGGCGCACGGGCTCGCGCGGCACGCTGGTCATCCTGCTTACCCTGCTCTTGAGTGAGCAGGATGTCAACACTAGCGGTGTAACTGTAGACCCAGGACTTCCAGCAATAGGAACGAGTAGTGGAAATAGTAACATTAGTCGTCTATCAGTAGATCCAGAATTCGCAGCAATGGGAAAGTATTTGAGCTAGCGTAGTGGTAGATCATCAAGTATGCATATCATCAGTGACTACGGTTGTAGCAACAAAGTCGAAACGACAAGCTGTAAGTCCTCATGTACTAAACAACTTTTGAGACTCGAGATTGCAATAGTGGGGAAAGAGTGTAGTCAATAGAGGTGGCATTTCAACTCACGTGTACGGGCATGTTGAAGTAATCAGATTTGAACTGGTCAGCCATTTCTCCGAACTGCTGCAGCGTGTATTCCCGCGACGCTTGTTCGAAGCCGAACGCCTCCGCCGGCTTCGATACCTGCCAAGGATAACATGGTTATACAGGGTGTTCAAATTGATCTATATCTTCCTAAGTCCACCATCTTACCTAAGTCTGTCGCCATAACAACAATGTTAACAGCATTGTTGTGTTCCGTCAATTAGAAGTAAGATAGCCAGTTCTCCGTAGTTGAGGATTCCGGGTGAAGCTCGCTTCCATCTTCGGCCTGATCATCACTTACCATCAGGTGAGATACAGGCCAAGAGTGGCCAAGAGCTTCCTCGTTGTGGATAAAAAAATCAATTTCGTATTCCTTTATCTGGTGACCGAGGCGTTGGCCTCAGCTATAGATACGGGGGTGTTTGGTGGCATCTAATGAGGCCGCGACGGCGCAGCACATAATATCTTGTGTGCCGCTCGATTGAGGTTGAAGGCGTAACGGCGCCTTCCTTAGTTGGAGCTGCGTACTAACTGAATGCCGGGCAGGGAACACGGACAAATGCTTGAAGCAAACGCGTAGTGCGCGCGTTCCCAGCTCATTGGCGTCAGGTTTATAGTGGGTAGGCCCTGCCTTTTTGGAAGGGGGAGCCCCACATAACCCACTAGCTGTCCCCGCGGCCGGTGAGTATACAAATGTAATTATGTCAACCCAAACAGATAGATTGTTACACAACACTTTCTTACGTTTCTTGCGCTGCTTCTTCTCAGCACTGGCCCATTTATTGTCCCGAAGCAGTGGTAGGGTTAATACTGGGACGTGTAAGAGTGCTTTTTAAAAGCCTATTTATAAAAATAAATGAGTTTTAAATAAATAAATAAGATTGAATGAGTTTTTTTAGCAGACGAGGCGAAGAAAATCGGCTAGACCTGGAGCGAGATCAAGCGCGAAGCTCAAGACCGAACGCGATGGAGGACTGTTGTGGACGCCCTCTGTCCCATCTAGGGGACATAGGACCTTAAGTCAAGTAAGTCAATGAGTTTTTTACTCACCTCCTCGGCCAGGCACACGGGGCACCGCCAGTCGCCCTTGGGCACGTCGGCCAGCGGCGGCACGAGGCAGAAGGTGTGGTGGAGGCGTGGCAGGACATGGCTCGCGAGCTGGCAACACTCACCTCCTCGGCCAGGCACACGGGGCACCGCCAGTCGCCCTTGGGCACGTCGGCCAGCGGCGGCACGAGGCAGAAGGTGTGGTAGGAGTCGTCGCAGCCGTCGCACAGCAGCATTTGCTCCTCGATGTCGCCGCGCCCGCAAACGTGGCACATGTATTTGGCGAGCTGGTGGAGAGAAGTGAAGAGTGACGTTATTTATCGAACAGATAGCAACACTTCAAGCATCATAAGTCAGTTTTAATAGGTGTTATTAAGCAACAGAAAATAATAAACTAATATGCCGTCGACTGCACTAAACAGGCGGCCTTGAGCAAAGCAATAATCTCTAAAGATGTGTCCAAACGCGCGGCATTCGCAGGAAACTTTGCCGCGCGGCTTTTGGCTATCTCGCGGCTTACGCGTACGGCTATTGTCCAATCATAGCACAGCGTGGCACGCTCTCGCTCGAACCTCGAAACGGCCAGTCCCACGCGGACACTGTTAGGTGATTGTTTCCAGAAAGGAGTTATGGGGATTTCCTGGGTCGTCTGGATGATGGATGTCCTCAAGTGTTTGGCTACAAGGTATTGTGGTGGTGACTTTGTGAGTACTTACCGGGTCATCTGGGTGGGGCAGGTCGGGCGCGTTGGACGCGGGCGTGACAGACACCGTCATGTTGGACATGCGGTGCTCGCGTGCTCAAGTTTCCACTAGTATAGCCTAATATAGCGACTGACTGTCACTTACCGGGCACCCGCACTCAGATATCCACAAGTATAGCCTGAGGTGTCGCGCACAATGGCCCAATCAAGAGGCTAAGTGCGGTTTTCGATTGCCCTGCAAAAAACCTGAGGTGCCGGCGATTGTGCACCGAAGTATTACCTGCAAGATGTTGTGGTTATTTACACTTACCGGGTCGTCTGGGTGGGGCAGATGTGGCGCATTAGGCGCGGGCGTAACAGACACCGTCATGTTGGACATGCGGTGCTCACACGTCGCAGATATCTACTAGATACTCTGATGAGCTGACGAGTGTCCAATGTCTTACCGGGTCGTCTGGATTCTGATGTAGCGACTGTCCACAAGTGTAACCTGCAAGGGGGTAAGCCTGTAGGGGGTACACTTACCGGGTCGTCAGGATGAGGCAGATGTGGCGCATTAGGCGCGGGCGTAACAGACACCGTCATGTTGGACATGCGGTGTTCGCGCAGACGCGTGGAGCGGGTCACACGCGCGCGCCCGCCGCAAGACCCCGCCGCTGACATCCATTTGTTCTCGCGGGGACCTGCGGGATACATCGGGGTTAAAACGAGCCTTATACCTCAGCGGATGGCCGCCATCACAAAGGCTACTGAGACATATTCGGTGTTTTACTACCTCAGAGCATGACACATGCTGAGCGGAGGCCATTTTTGATCCTAACTACCATTTACATAATATAATCAAACTGTGTGTTATTTCTATAAGTTGGAACCAAAATAAATGTTTTTCTTTCTTTCTTTCACCGTGGTCCAGTACACTCGCGACGCCTCTAACCGTCAGAAATGGAAGCACATCGCCAGGAGAGCTACCCTCGGAGATGAACAGTCCACCGTGTACCTCGTCAGCGTAACCACGACCACTCTGACAAGAGTGCCCGACTAAGAAGAATACCTCAGCGAAGCTCGCGAAGTTAGCCGAAGAAGATAGTAGGGGAGAGTTCGGTATATTGTACCGCCGGGTAAATTGTACCACCCTTATATTTCGTAAAGTATTTATTGAATGTCTGTAATTGCAACACTCAGCGATACACAACTAAAATCAATTAATATCGGCCATGTGGTTTTTGCCGTGACAACAAACACGTGTGTTTTATTTTGAAAAGTATTTTTTCATTGTTTTCAAGTAACTTTTGACAATACATGTTTAGTTTGTAATTTTGTTAAATTTAATCACAGGGTGTTTCTAATATATTATTTAGAAGCGTAAATTAGTGTGGATTACAATTATTTGAAACATTTTTCGGTATTTATAAGCTATATTTTTTACCGATTTTTTAAAAGCACTATCACCTAGTCGGCTAAATTGTACCACATCAAGTTGTATGGAACTTTACCAAAGGATTTTGAAATTTTTTTTAGTAAATCATATTTTGAAGTTATAATAGCGTAGTTATGTTTGACTAACAATAAATGAAAGCAAAAGACTGGCAAAGTAGATTAGGTACAAGTGTGCGTTACGATAATTGGAATTACAAAACTTGTACTCAAAATCGTGATAACGTGTAAAACAATATCGATTGTCTATGTTATTAACTACTGTTCCTCTTCGTTTCCTAATTTGTTAAGAACGTATCGTATAATATTTTGCCATAGTTTTTTTATAGGCTTGAAATTTATTGAAATCCAATTTAGTAACCCTGTGGTACAAATTATCGAACCGGTTGGCTAAATTGGACCGAAGCTCTGAACTCGTACTTTGTTGATTTGTGCTAAATATACAACAATCATGTTAATTAATACTTATGAAATAGTAAGTTGAATAATGTATCTTTTATTATATACCATGGACATTAGCAAAAACAAAAGAAAACTAAGTGTAAAATGGGATTGAAAAAAACTGGTCCAAATTAGCGGACTCTCCCTTATCACTTTGCTTCGAGCAACCGTTGTTGTCGGTATTGCGCCCGAGTCAAAGGGTCCGAAGTGTTTTGAAGTTTAAACACGTAGTGGTTGACTACACTATTCGGCTAATTTCGGTGCTTCTTCGAAGCGCCCAAGTAGTGCAGCTGAGGTATAAAAGAGACATTTTGGAGCCGTGTGTCACTCAGGCGCATTGTCAGGTAACGATAAACACACTGCTAGGTTTATTTTGACGTATTGGCAGAAAGATATTCAGGAAAGCTTCATTCTCCAGATAAAAAAGTGTTTGTATTTGTATTTAGCTTTCACAAATAAAGCGAGAAAAAGTAACGAGAATTCCAAACACAACTTCAAAAATTACACAAATGAACGTCAAAGAAGTATCAAGAACACTCACTCCTCCTAGTATCCTGCGCGGGCGGCTCCTGCTTGACGGGCGTGCGGGGGGCAGGCGGCGCAGGCGGCGTGGCGCCTTCAGGCTGGGCGGGCTCGTAGCGGCGCGCCGGCGGCGGCGTGGCGGCGGCCGGCGGGCCCTTGCTGGCGGAGCGGCTGCGGCCCGTGCTGTTGGCCTTCTCGGGCGTCTGCTCCGTTTTTACTTCAATTTTCTGGAAGATGGTTCAGTGTTGGAGGTGATCGATAGATGGAGCTGTTTGGTTTTTGAATCGCGGTAGCATTGTTTTTGGACAAAACTTTGTGGCAAAACAATAATACATGTCTCAAATATAGCCACTTAAAGTGGCCAAACAGTAGACAAGACGTCCTTATTCCAAATGTAAAAAATCATGTTGCAAACTTTTTGGCTACTTTGGGTGTCGCGAAGTATTTGACGCTGTACCCTAAATCAATTTCAGGGCAAGATAATTGACTAGTGCTGAAAAGAAAGAAGAAGCCGATGCCTTGCCCTGGCCTGGTGACTGAATCAGTACTAGAGTGGAAGCGAGAGGCACTTACAGTCTCCTTATTGTCGCCAGATACGCCGCTGCTCTTGAATACGTCGTAAGGATAGAGGATGCGTTCGTACGTAGTGGCTCTTGAGGATGCAGCCGATGCCTTGCCCTGGCCTGGTGACTGTCAGTACTAGAGTGGAAGCGAGAGGCACTTACAGTCTCCTTATTGTCGCCAGATACGCCGCTGCTCTTGAACACGTCGTAAGGATAGAGGATGCGTTCGTAGTGGCTCTTGAGGATGGAGCCGATTCCTTTGCCCTGGGGGTGGCCCATGCGACGCGCGATCTTCGACCATTTGCGCTCCGCGGAGCAGACTTCGAAGCCGCCTGTGAAGACATGATAGTGATAAAGATAAAGAAAACATAACCATCCTTCTGCACAGTTGGGTAAAAAGGGCCTTTCATATGCTATGCATCAATTGGAGCAGCGAATAATCTTGCATTTTGTTGTACTTTTCGCAGTAAGAATGAGCTGTGGCAACAAAGGAGCCAGCTGAAAATAAGTTTCAAGACATGTCTCTGCTCTGGGTGCCTCGATTCTCTCAGTGTATGCCGAGTGCGATTTTGTCAGAGGGCACATAAGCATTTTTTGCATGTTTTTTGCTATTTCTTTTTGTATGTGTCATGGTTTTTTGTCAAATGAAACTATTATTTTCAATGTAACTTACCAGCTTCACGAACGATCTTGTGCAATGCATAAAGGTCGAGGGGCTTCCTCTCGACAGTGGGGATCTTCAGCACGGAGCCCTGCAGCTCCCAGAACTTGATGATTTGGTCCAGGAAGTTTAACTTGACCCGGGTGATGGCCTGGGAAAAATAATGTTGGTTAACGTAAAGGAGCGTCATCATAATCATCGTTAGACTCACCACACACTACAGTCTAGTTAACTGTTGGGCCAGATTCTAATTTGTATGAAGAATCGACATACATGTCCATACCGATTAAAAGCTCGACCCAACTGTGTCTAAGCTTAAACTTCAGGAATTTTCGACAAAGACTCTCCCTGGGGAGTTCATCTATGGAAGGCCACAGCAAGCCAATTGCATGCAGTGACTTCGCGTAGTCTTAAAATGGTTTTCGGCCCACCGAGTGAAAGGCCTGCTACCGGTCGGCAATCGAATAGTTCTCTACGAGAACCTTTCAGATGACACTATTGCGCGATTTGACCTAACTATTACCACTTTATTGTTCCAATACGACAATTTTCCCCAGTTATTGGGTTTTGCATTTAAAGTGCTAAAACTTTCTAGAATATTATTATGTACTAAAAATTTAGTGAAGCCAGAGGCGGTCGATTTAATCTATGCAGTTTAAATCTAGTTTCAGCATCGTTTTACAACCCTGAACCTAGTGGTAAAACAATGGAGGTTCACTAAACTACTCTTAAAACTCTATCCAAACTCCAAACTAGATTGAAAGCTGTAAAATTTCAGATTTGTTTTAGTTTTAAAACGCGAAGTTTGATCGCGTTTTAGTGTAGATTTAAGAGGCTCAGATAAAACTGATAAGGTTTACGAAGACGAGCGTTCAGGAGAGTCACATAAATGACTAAGGACAATGACCTGATGCAATATGGCTACATCATTTAGTGCCTTTTTCCTGTGATGTGTGCATATAGCCTGAGTAATAGGAAAAACTTGAAATGAAAATAATGAAATGCCCGATGCGGACCAGATCCGCACGCGTGGCGAAACCGCATGGATAAAGGAAAAAGATACTTTTTTTATCCTCAACGAGGAAGCTCTTGGCCTGTATCTCACATGATGGTAAGTGAAGATCAGGCCGAAGGTGGAAGCGAGCTTCACCCGGAATCCTCAACCACGGAGGAACTGACTATCTTACCTCTAACTGCCGGAACACAACAATGCTGTTATCATTGTTGTTATGGCGACAGACTTAGATAAGATGGAGGTAGCTAGCCAGGCGGACTTAGACAAGCCCTACCACCAACCAAACCGAACAGTAAAATCTGCCCCCACTGGGAAGCGAACCCGAGACCTCTGAGTCTGAAGCAGGTGGTCTTACCACTAGACCAGAGAGGCGGTTAACAAAATGACGAGTCTATTCTTTTTCTTAGTCACTAATCTTGGGTACTTTACCTGACTTACTACATGTGGGTGTAACAAACATAAAGCGAATATCGTAATAGATTCACGACCACGAGATTCAATAACAATTTTTCCTTCCAGTATTCTAGTTACATATTACATATTTTTCTATTCATCTTGCAATTTAATAGTTTATAGATAGCTCATACCAGGTTAATTACAATTTAATAGACATCAAAATGGTATCACAAAAACATGGTTTTGAAACACAATTCAAATAACTAGACCTAATAAAACTTCATCAAATTCTAAAGTCCCAATAAAACATTTTGAAGTTGTTGGAATAATGTGCAAATGAAAAAGGAGTTGTCCCAATTTCGGCCCAGAGGTTGTACGCCATATCAAAAATCAAGAAAAATCTACTGATTAAGGGAAAAATATAAATAACTATAATCTAGCATATAATTTAGCCGCTCAAAATCAAAAACTATTCATGAATTATCATTCTCAAATGCATACACAAGATGGCGTATGGCGTCAGATAAAAAAAAAAGATGAACCATAGACTAACTAAACGTCAGTCGCTGTCAGATTTCATCTGTCACTCTCCACCAAGATACGACTTAATGTCAAAAGTGACAGATGTCAACAAANTGACAACAATAGACTGACATGCAAGGTGACATGTCAATGAAGTTTTCAGTTACTGTTGCCATTAAAAGAAATTAGTACCATTAGTTTTCCGCAACATGGCGAGGGTTTTTATGTTCCTGGTCAGGCTATACCTACGTAAGCATTAAGAACTTATTATTAAGTGTCGGGTAGTCAAATTTTTCTATAGAATTTGACAGCGGCGGCGGCGCCGCGCTTTGCGGAGCTGCGATGAGTGATGAGCGGACAGGAGAAGTGGAATNATTAACATTTAAATAGTTGAGTGTGCCATTGAGAATTAATTTATTTTTCTATTGTAAAAAAAATGAACAAAAGATTTGGAATATAATAATTATTAGGTAATAATATGACAGAAACACACACAACTGTATTTGTTTATATGTCCTACTTAGTGAGAAAAACGTACATCAAAATAAAAACAAATAGGTCAGAAATTGAAAAAAAAAACAAATGCAAATCGTTTCATTTCAAGGTTTATGACATCAATTCACGTATGAGAAACCGGGGCGAGTCGCTAGTCGCTATCATAAAACATTTCTAATTACTTTAATGAAGGTGATCTTCATTAAAGATTTACTCAACAGATATGCTGGTCATATATTTGAACTTTATTGTATGTATGTTATGTATGTTACGATACGATACCATATTATTAATAATGCAGAATGCAGCGAACTTATTTATAGATCAATCGATATCTGACTTCCAGTTAGGTTTGTACTTACATCAAAAGCTTCACAAAATGCGTTTTATTTTACCTTTTTTGTAAAAAGAAACTCGCAAATATAACACTTTTTAAAAGTGTGAATTCTATAACGTCTACAAGTCAAGGTGGTTCGCGTATCGGCTACATCGCCAGCTGTGGTTCGAATCCCACAGGGGATAAATTATAATGCTATGGGCCCTAGCATTTATATTCATAGTCAAGGACGTTTATGACATATTCATGTTTTTATTATTTAAATTAGCTAATCCATTATTATAGTAATATTCTGCTTATTTTGGATCTAAATTTCGCAAAATAAAATGTATTACATGCATAGATCATATCCATATTGACCAGTTGGTAGCGGCCCGTATCCAGCGCCTTCCTGCTACCTTTATGAGATCGTCGATCAACCTTGTCCTTGGCCACTCAATATGGAAATCATTGGGGGAGGCTAATGTTCAGCAGTGGACGTCCTGTGACTGAAATGATGATGATGAAGAGCATTACAACAAAGTAGGTTCCTGCGGTGTCGTAGAGTTTATAAAACTCATAGAGCTCATTTATTTATGCAAGTATGCTTTTAAAAAGCACTTTTACACGTCCCTAATCTTAACCCTACCACTGCTTCTGGACAATAAATGGGACAAGTAATGTAACAGAGCCGCCACGGTATGAACTTCTGAAGTCTCTTATATCTGACCTAAAAAAAATACACCCCTCGCGCACCGCTCCACCATCTCAAGAACTGACTCAGTTTCGCACTATACTTTTTTTAACTTCTCTAAAATGATCCTCAACACGACCGTTGCTAGTCGTCTTCGCCGTGATAACGATCGCAGACGCAGTTTCTATGCAGTCGCAAAGCGAGCGAGGTCGTTACATTTGCATGACATTGATCTCGATGGGACTGGTTTCGCATTGTCGTGTTGTCCGATTCGGCTGGCCAGTTTGTTTATTGTTTGGGCTTTCGCGCCTAAACGCGTCCCGCCGCGCGTAACATGTAATTTGCGTCCACATTGGGGGCATGCCTCGTGCGGCACTCTCGACATCTTACTCACTCAAGAGCAGGGTGAGCAGGATGACCAGCGCCCAGGGTTAGCAGGATGACCAGCGTGCCGCGCGAGCCCGTGTGCCCAGTGTGGACGCACCATGACGCGAATAGTGACCCGGGTTAAATAGGGATGGCAGAATTGAGTTCTGGAGGATAGCATGTAAGTATTTTTTTTTACAAGCACTTCAATATTTTACCTTTGTAGTGATGTATTACAGAAAGAGCGCCTATACAGCCTCATACATAAGACAGTTAATTAATTTTTAGCGTTAAGAGTCGCATCTCAAACTTATATGAAAATTATAAATAACTTGAAAACATCGAACTGCCTAAGGCGGAAATTCAACCCACGAACACTTTAAAATTTCGACGGGTTCATCCAGTGTCTAAGTAGCTCAGTTGGAAGAGCAATCGCCCGGAAGGTCGTGGGTTTAATTCCCGCCTTAGGCAGATCGATTTTTTCAAGTTATTTATAATTTTCATACATAAGATGTCACAGCACAGCGACGTGCAGTCAGGCCTGGCTCACTCCGCGCGGTACATCCGATAATTACCTACAGCGAAGCGCCCCGCCGGCGGGTATTATATCAGTCGAGTGTCACGCGCGCGCTCGTCAGGACGCTGGCATGCGTTGTAGTATGATTATAATTCTATGATCGAAGTATTATTTAAAAGTGGACATAAAGAGAAAGAAATATTGTGCGGCGTTCGGGTGTTTAAATTCGAAAAGTAATCTACCGGATTTATCTTTTTTTTTCGCTTCCCAAAGATGCTGAAAGGTATGTTGGCCATGTAGGTAATCAATAATTCTTAGGATAGTATAGGAACCTAACCTACTATGAAGGTTTTCCATAATGAATGCATACTTACCTACATACGTACCTCATTACAAATAAGTAGATTTATTATTTTTTTACTAGACGGCAACCCTAACAGCGTAAGAAGAGTTCAGAGGCACACGATAGAAAGAGACAAAACTTGTAGGTGAATAAAATTGTAGGTACGTAGTGCTGTGCGAGCTGAATTCCACTGTATCGCGTCGTAGCAAGACTCGCATTTATTTAAATCGTCTTGCGGAGTAATCCTTCTGTACCTGTACTATTACTTATTCTGTGGTGCAGTGTTTGATCTGCTGTCGTCTGTACACTAAAGGTCAAGTATGTGTAGACAAATGTAAATACTAAATATGTAAAAGATGCTAGTTATTTCACATCACACAAGACTGTATCTACACTAATATTATAAAGAGGAAAACTTTGTTTGTTTGTTTGGTTGTAATGAATAGGCTCAAAAACTACTGGACAGTTTTTAAAAATTCTTTCACCATTCGAAAGCTACATTATCTACGAGTAACATAGGCTAAATTTTATTTTGAAAAAAACATAGGGTTCCGTAAAATATGTAAATAATGTAGTCCACGCGCGCGAAGCCGCGGGCGGAAAGCTAGTAATAAATAAAACAAATAGAAAAAAGTGGTAGTGCACAAATTATGAGGTCAAGCGATCACGAGGAGTTATTTTTTATCGATTTCGATTCGACAAAATCACTTACATCTGCGTTTTTATCTAATTTTGTGACGTACAAATGATCTCCAAATAAACTTGAGGACAAATGTCACTCTTTAGAATAAAGGACTAGGATTTTTGCTGCCATGTGAGATCGAAAGGTAGCAGGAAGGAGCTGGATGCAGGCCGCTACCAACCGGGTGATGTGGAAATCATTGTTTAGCAATGGACGACCTGTGGCTGAAATGATGATTATGATTATAATAATAATAATAATAAATACTCTTTATTGTACACCACATAAAAGAAACAGAAAGAAAAGGAACACATAAGGTACAATTAGGCGGTCTTATCGCTATGAAGCGATCAAAATCTTATGAGATTATGAGATCAAAAGGAACGTCCTGCTGGGAATGCTAAATTATAGAGTTCTACTTTAACCTAAGAGTTGAGCTATATATTTTCATATTTAGGAGGAAATAACCGAAAGAAATTTTCAATGTTGTGCTTTATAATTTTTCCGTAATCTTTTTCACATTTTAGTACCGACCGACTGCATGTAAAAATGGCGATCATGAATCTTCTTTCCCTATTTCGTAAAATTAACGCCATAATAACTAGTTATGTGCACTTGTCGATATTAATCACCAATTAACACCAACAAAAGTTAGTGTATATTTATCATTGGTTAGGTTAGTAATGTGCCAGTCCACTGCTAAAAACTGTTATGCTGAGCAGCTACTGTGCCACTGGCATGCCAGTCACTGGCTTATGGCAAAGACGATTTCTGCCACAATGTGAAGCCACTACAACACTATCACGTTTCTTTTTATCGATAAAATAAAAACAACCAATTGTTTTTTACTTAGTTGTATGCTAGTGACATTGTGTGTAATGTATTCACGAGTTTTTAACATTGCCAGCTTAGATTAATAAAACCTAGATAGATAGTCAGTGCACGAAAGGTGAGGCAGATTTTAGTAAGCCAGAATGGCTTACTCGTAAACGTCACATGAACTGTCAAAGTGAAAAATTGGTAAACACGTCCGACGACTTTTAATTAATTAAGACGGTTTGTGCTGTGAAAGGGTGTCAAAATACATCAGAAAAACTAAAGAAAGTGACCAGTGTTACATTTCATAAGTAAGTACTACGATTCGACGCGTATTTTGCTTGAATTTGGCTTTCAAAAATTAAATACGGGAATGATACCAGTAACAAGAAAATTTATTTCCCAATTGTTCGCCGTACAAATACACTTCCTTTTTTATGAAATCGAGACTTTTCAGTCGATTTATCTTATTGTAATTAGGTAGGTACTTTGAATTCAATAAATAAGTAAGTACATGATGCGTTTTGTTTTTGTTAGTTATAAAATAATTAAAAACGTATTAAAATTTTCCCTACTTTCGGGAAAATCGCCTTCACTGTCTACACTCCCCAACAAAATTGACACTAATGACATAAGATTTTTGCCTCACTCTTGACGAAGCGTTTGTATGAAGACTATCCATCTAGGTTTTATTAATCTAAGATTGCCAGTGTGTAGTTAGAATTTACGAAAGTACCTACAATAGTAGCCTTAATTTTTATTTGCATAGCCACGTGAGACGTTTGTACGAGACTCAGGGAATGCCTGAGAGTCCTTCACCTGGACATGAGCTCCCCTGGCTTACCTGGAAGTCCTTAACCTTCAAGCGGGCGCGCGGTCTTTTGTAACGGCAGCGGTCGCGCGTAAACGAAAATACCTATAGGGTCTAGTAGAGAAACAAAGCACTTATTTTCCAATAATCATTTATTATTTTGTACGCAGATATATTATGATTGTATTAAAGTCATAAGGAATTTGAATTAAGTTAAAGAAACAATTATTTAATCAATAAAATAACGCAAATATTATTTGGATCAAAAACCAATTCTGGAACAAAAAATCTTTTAAAATACCTCAGAATAATTCATATACCTGGTACAAACGATAAAAATGGCAAAATAATGGTAAAACATAATTTTATAATTTTGGTTCAGTTTGCTTGGTCTCTGAGCTCCGATTCACTCTCTTTTTCATCTTTTCGTAGTAATGCCTCTGTTATTTCACTTTGTACTAGCAGTCTACGACTTATTTAATAAGAAAAAACAGTATTGCAAGCTTAATTCAATAATATTGGGTGATAGCCGAAGAAATGTTATATCGCATAGAGAGTCGCGCGTAACCTTTTCGACGACAGGCGCGTGGCGTGCTTTCGACGCCGGCGCCGCGACTAAAACAATAGCAAGCCATGGGGTGGGAAAAGCGCGGAGAGCTGAGGTAAGCTCTTTATTTCACTCACAATGAGCAAGCGACAGGCTACTAAAAATGAGAAATATGTGTAACAACTCAAAAAAAAGTTATGAACGAAAATGTGTTAGGCGCGGTCGATTCGACGCCGCGCGCCCGCTTGAAGGTTAAATCGACTTCGGACGCAGCTCGGCCGTAGTAAGGACAATCTGTTCAGGTGGGGATTTTTGGATGGCTCTAACTTGGAGTGCAGGTGCGGTTTTGTTTCCTAGACGATGAAGCACATGATATCATACCCTGAGTGCCCGAGCAACTGCACGCAGGATTTAATTAATGCTGCTGACAACGCCACTCTTGTAGCGGAGTTTTGGGCTGACACTGTGTAGGTTTATTGTGGACACGATAAGAAGATAAAGGACTCGCCAAAGGTAAACGAACTAAAGTCGCTGACATAGCCCGACGGATTAGCAAGCTAAAGTGGCAGTGGGCAGGGCACATAGTATGCAGAACTGGCGGCCGATGGGGCAGCAAGTTTCTGGAATGGAGGCCGCGTACCGGAAAACGCAGCGTGGGACGTCCACCCACAAGGTGAACCGACGACCTGATAAAGGTAGCAGGAAGGCGCTGGATGCAGGCCGCTACCAACCGTGCGATGTGGAAGTCATTGGGGGAGGCCTATGTTCAGCAGTGGACGTCCTGTGGCTGATACGATGAAGATAAAGGACTCACCTCCAACTCGTTGAGGCGCTGGATACGAGGCGTGAACCGGAGTCGGTCTACGTCCACCGCGAATGGCGGCTGCCAGTGCTGCAATAAATAAATATGAATATAAACGACAATATTAAATAACAACAGCGTTTTGTGCGATAGGTGTGTGATTTCGCAATAAACTTTACATACACGGTGTTTACTTCTACTTCTAACCCTCGAGATTTCGCAATACGTCCTTTAGAGCACCATAAGTCAATTTTCTTTAAACTTGCACAGAATAAAAGTCGTAAAGGAAAATAATAGATCAAATTAACAACCAATATTCAGAAAAACCAATATTTTAAGCACTACAGGTAAATGGTATAAATACCTAATATCTATACTAATATTATAAATGCGAAAGTAACTCTGTCTGTCTGTCTCGCTTACCCGCGTCCGTTTCAAAAACCGGGATAAAAACTATCCTATGTCCTTTCCCGGGACTCAAACTATCTCTATGCCAAATTTCATCAAAATCGGTTCAGTGGTTTAGGCGTGAAAGCAAGACAGACAGACGGACAGACAGACAGAGTTACTTTCGCATTTATAATATTATTATGTATTTAAATCTGAATGCGATACGAGAGGAAATAGCCAGTGTGCCTCAACACATAAACGGAGAGGATTATTAATGAATGCTGAATTTATAAGCAGATGTATACGATGGCACTGGTGACCGAACAGTGTGATTGCTCTATAAAAATAATAGTAAGGATAATAAATACACTTATTTTGATGTCTATTACGAGTGAACTTGTTGTTAGCCTTTTATTATAGCACAACTATCATTTTAATAGATGTTTCTTGTATCCTTATAAAAAAACTTTGCATGAAACAAAAAAGAAATATTTGCAGCTACTATGTTAATCATTTGGAATAGAGATGCACCGAATGTAGATTAAACCGAATACGAATGTTCGGCCGAATATTCGGTTCAAAATGTACCGAACCGAACATTCGGCCGAATACGAACATGAAAAAAATATGCCGAATGTACCGAATACGAATATTCAACCGAACATTCGGTGCATCTCTAATTTGGAATAATATTGCTAATGAGATATTACTCTATTATGTAGTAAATGAATAACAAAACTTTTAAGATTACTTTTGTCTCATTCATGAAAATAAAATATCCGATAGCAATTGCAACTTTGTTTACATTAGGTTATCCTCTTTCAAAACATTTACATAAATTAACTACATACTTTTCAATATCTTTTTAATAATTCGCTTTTAATTGGTATTGTAGGAATCAAGTGATTTTATTCAGAGGGCAGAAATACCTTATTTGTTAGTATGAGTAATAAATTATGTACTTCTGTTAGTTAACTATTTCATACAGTATTTATCACATACATATTATTATAATAAAGTCGCTTCACTGTCTGTCCTCCCTCCCTCCCTGTGTATGTTTAAATCTTTAAAACCACACATTTAAGCAACGGATTTAAGTGCATTTTTTTTAAATACAGAGTGATTCAAGAGGAAGGTTTTTGAGTTATAATACATTGTGACTGTGCAAAGCAGGGGTCGCTAGTTTTGGAATAAAGACTATCATGAATTCTCATTTTATAGCTCTAGGGCATAACATAAAATTAGATAATTATTATCTAGATAAGAAGGGACTGTTATAGAATCATTAGTTATAAATTGATTTTATCATCTTTTCAAAAAGCAACAAATGTTGATGAATGGTGGTTTGTCCAATATTTTTTCATAATCATGAACATCAATATTCAATATCTTGAAAATTATAATAGGCGCTTAGATGATAAAGAGTTCAATAACACCTTGATATTGACATAACTTGTTTAATCACTAAAAATATATTATTGAGGAATGTTTATTTGTAATTGAGTTGATTAAACACAATGAAGCATTGGGGGAGGCCTATGTTCAGCAGTGGACATCCTATGGCTGAGATGATGATGATGAGATGATGAAATACAATGAAAATAACTTATCAAGAACATGTGAGATTCAAAATAACACTACATTTGTTTGACAACAATGGTAGAATTTAAAAGTAAACAAAGTAGATAGAAGGCCTTGTTCATTTTATTAAATAATATTTCTTAATTATCATTTAAAGACTAAATCGAACAAATGAATTTAAAAATAATGGAACTGATTAGTTTCTTGCAGAAGTTAAATAATTTTACATTTTGGTAAATTATTTCATAACATTTAACAACATTAATTTAAACATATTATAAGTTAGTCAACTTGAAGACAATTTGGTCTAATGATGAGGAGGAAAATTGATTCATCAATTAAAAGTACAAACTGCAGGTAGACTATAACTAACCTACAAAATTATGATTTCAAAAGTGGAACCCTAAATAATGAGTCACAAATACTTTTCTGCAAAGCAACAGGTATAAAACCATTCTGAATTAGGGACATAATGTGAGTTTCAAAAAAGGTTAGAATAAAACAAGGACACAATCACATGTCATTTTATCCTCAAAATTAACATTTAAAACCTAAAATTCCCATGAGGGAACAAGCATTTTATGTAGATGCCAACTTTTACACAGCAAATGGACCATTTTTTGGTTAATTCTATACTATCCTTTCACAAATTTTGTAGGGAGGTAAGTGTTTGTCTCATGCACCACTCCTAGTTTTACTAAATTTTCATAATATTTTAGTTTAGTAATAAATATTAAGCAAATGTGTTCGATTTAATGACTAATTCAATTAAAATATGGGGCAATCAAAACCTATGATGGTTGAAATATATTTTTGTAAGTAGAAGTGACAGCACATCAGTGTTGAAAGAATTGAAATCATGCACAATATTGTCCTTGTTGAACTGTGCAATAGTGGTTTTAACATTCAAATGAATGGTTCAGACATTTCTCAGAACAAAACCTTTGTAGGACTTGCATACTAAAATCAGATGGGTATGTATATGTGCATGCACACTGTGAACCCCAGTAGATTTTAACACAAAGGCAGCACTGATGTTAAATATTTGAATTTTAACAAAAAATCCTAAGCAATCTACTGCCACTGTGGGGATTACAGTTATTTACGACAAAAAAGTCGCGACAATTCTTTTTTTATCTAAACTATCGTAGGCAGGAGGACACTACACAAAATGGCAACCAGATTTTCAATACAATATTGCATCCTCATACAACAAAATTTAAATGCAATTGCAGTACACAATTTACTTCAAATGGTGCTTTGACACGTATTATTTAAGATTAAATCATAAAACCGAAATTTAGATAACACGCAAATGCTCTACACGGTGTAATATGGTTGCATCACACGAAATCTGCGTATCGTTCTAAGGTTAGAAAATTACATTGCAAAGCGATAATTTACACTGAAATAGGCTAATTGGGGCAAAAACGGTAAGATGCACGCTTTGAAGACAAAGAAAGTCACTCACCGCTGGTGGTTTTATCTTGCAGATCCCTGACTTCTCGGCGATTGGCCTTATTTTACTGATGTATGCCAGAGGATCCAGGAACTCCTCTGGGGTAGGCTCGAAGACAGGAGCCTCAGGGGGCACCGTAAAGGTGAAATTATCCGGTTTCATGGGGGACGCTGAGTCCCCCATACTAACTTCGACATTAGCTTCGTCACATTTTCCCATTTTTATGAAAAATGGTATGCAGTTCACACAATAAAACTATAAACAACTATATAACATCATCAACCGTTAAGGAATAAATAATGCACGACCACAAAGAAATACAAGCATTAGAATTACTCTTTCCATAAGGAACCACAATGAGTTAAATTATTGAAAATTATCACTAACAAATAACAGCACCCACTTGCACGTCCGCCATGCGAAATTGAACTTTCGAAACCAGTGTTGCCTGACTAAAAAAATAATTCAGGTTCTCATTTTGTCATTTACGAAGATAGTGTAAGTAAATATAATATTTTGTAAGGACATGCATGCACTGGTAACGAAATATGTACAACAATGTAGATTTATAATACAAAATTTTTGTAATTAATCAAATAATGTTTACCAACTAATACCAAAATTCTCAAAAAAAAAATACGCTCACTAATGACTGATAGCTGAAGATTATTCTAATTTTATGGAAATAAAGCACTAGGCATTCTTTGTATTTAGTTTTACTGTTGGGAACTTGGGACTGCAGGTTAAAATAGAAGTCCGACCAAGATAAAAATGCTGATTAATATTGACACTACATTTCTCATTTTCCTCCTTATGTCCCTGTTCCGACTAAAGAAGAAGAGGGAGGAGTGCTACTCTCCCCTCTTCTCCTCTGCTGTAAATTTTAAAAAGACTTCGATCGACATTGTAGCTAACTATGGTTTGTATGAGGCAGGTCATACTACCTGTGCAGCAGTCATCCTCCAAAATAAGCCCATGGTGGTGATGGTGGTGGAAGATTTTGTTTACCTACACGTCGTTAGCTGATTGATTTTGATGAAGATCGGCCTTCTCGCTGCTAGAAGGTGCTTGATCGAAGCCACATATAAAGTCTATTGCGTTGTTTTGAGAAATTATCCTGAATGTCCTCTCTGGCACGGGAAAATTGTCTACACAAAACGTGTTTTCCACCGGGCGTGAAAAGTAAAAACATTGTTGATGCAAATAAACATGTGTAGTGAATATCTGGGTCTCTAGTGCGTGTTTTGTCCTGTGCGACGACTGTGCGACGTGCGCCCGCAGTGAGTGTGAGAGCGCGACAGCAACATAATTACGCGCGAGCGATGAGGATGGGTAGCTTGGGGTCATTGGACAAAATTCTACGTGCTCACAGACCGGGCTTTAAAAAATCAATAAAAACATCTCAACATTCAACATTTTTTATGGGCAATTTTGTTGAATGTTGAGTTAAATGTTGATTGTATAGGGCAAACACACACTGGAGACCCGGCTAAACAATGACAATTTTATTGAGAATGTACGTTATGTTATTGTATGCAAAATCATTTGGAACCTTTGTTACATTACAGTTAAGCTTTAACATAGNTTAATTATTCACAGCAGTGTTACATTGAGTTGAAATGGCGCGTTACGTCACGCCTATATATTTTTTTACTCAAAGTGACGTCACGTGTCATTTCATCTCAATATAATCAATAATACCTACTGTAATTATTCAAATGAAAAAATACGTGTCCATTTTTTATTATCTGTCTGACGGACTAAATAGAATTTCGATTTCATTACCAAGTCATCATCCCAATTCACAACAAACAAACATAACATTAACACCATCTTTATTCAACACAGAGAATAAAATTTGCACGAGTGGCATTTGACAGCAGCGCCGTGACGCCCGTGACGTTATTACGCATCCAAATTGAACACTACAGGCTAGCATAATGATCCCAATGCGTTCACGAACTTCTTACGTTGAAAGTGTTTTATATTATGCTACTAAATGTAAATGTAAAACCAAGAAATTTTGTACTTTGCAAGGATAATTTGTTATAAAATAGATTGTAGAATATAAAATAGCCTCTAATAAAGCTCGTATGAAGAAAAAGAAATTATTTGTTATATTTTTTTCAACGATGACATTGGCATTAATGACATAACCATTTTAACGTGTTCCGAAACATTCAGTACACGTAATGAAATATTTAAAATTTAACCTTTAAAACTTAATGTTTTGTGAAAATTAATACACAGTATTTTATTTTACATTATTATTAAATTTTAAAAATAAATGGGCTTTGTAATATAATTTCACTAAGTAAAGATAAAATTAATCATAATTACGGAAGTTACGGACTGTATAATCCGGCTGTATCTCCAGGTCACATAGCAGCTGTAATAGACATTTAGGTACATACATTTAGCAATTTTGGTGATAAATAGGCATTTTGTATTAGTTTTTGTATAACGCCTGAACAAAAACAAAGGGTAATATTTTGGTGTTATACATAAATTTCGAATATAAAAAATATATAATTTAACTAATTAAGACATGACAAAAAAACTGAGGTATGTCTCGTTTCTGTCGGGCCTGGGTCACAGATGACCGTTCTTCTTTGGGAATAAAAATAAATAAAAACAAAAATATCAATTTAAAAAAAGGTAGCTCACTTAGGGTTAAATGGGCGAACTTGTATTCTTAAAATGACCTTACCTATACATACACCCACGAAGTTTGTCTAACCTTCCGCCAAACACCCTGTATAATAATAATATGGTTTTAGGTTTGATTCAAGTCACAAAGAAAGTAGAGCAGAGATGTCGACATCAGCCATTGCGTAAAAATAAACAAAGTTTTAACGATCCTCCTTTCATAACCTTCACTTTTTCTCTAAAACTTTTTTTTTCAGGTTTAAACGTGGTGAGTCACATCACACCAGTGAAGGTGAAACTGAGGAGATAATTCAGGACCCATCACCTGCCGCGTAAGTATATATTTTTTTAATTTAAATAAAAAGTACCTTCATGTGATTATTTTACCAAAAGCAGAATGTTCTTTTAGATTTATGTCTTGTGGTGGTAGTGGTACCAGCACGCCTTCGAATAATACACCGAAGCACAAACGTTCGAGGATTGAGTCCACAAAGGAGATAATTCAGGTCCCATCACCTGCCATGTAAGTAACTATTTTTTTATTTAAATAACTAGCTTTCCGCCCGCGGCTTCGCCCGCGTGGAATTTTGTCTGTCACAGAAAAACAATATCGCGCGCGTATTTGCTCACCGTTTCCAAAATCAGCTCAATCGGCCCAGCCGTTCTCGAGTTTTAATCAGACTAACGAACATTAATTCATTTATAATATATATTTATAGATAGATATTAGTTTTTGTATAACGCCTGAACAAAAACTTTTTTGGTGTTATACATAAATTTAAAAAAATATATAATTTAACTAATTAAGACATGACAAAAAAACTGAGGTATGTCTCGTTTCTGTCGGGCCTGGGTCACAGATGACCGTTCTTCTTTGGGAATAAAAATAAATAAAAACAAAAATATCAATTTAAAAAAAGGTAGCTCACTTAGGGTTAAATGGGTGAACTTGTATTTTTAAAATGACCTTACCTATATATTTATAGATAGATATTAGTTTTTGTATAACGCCTGAACAAAAACTTTTTTGGTGTTATTTTTCGAATATAAAAAATATATAATTTAACTAATTAAGACATGACAAAAAAACTGAGGTATGTCTCGTTTCTGTCGGGCCTGGGTCACAGATGACCGTTCTTCTTTGGGAATAAAAATAAATAAAAACAAAAATATCAATTTAAAAAAGGTAGCTCACTTAGGGTTAAATGGGCGAACTTGTATTTTTAAAATGACCTTACCTATACATACACCCACGAAGTTTGTCTAACCTTCCGCCAAACACCCTGTATAATAATAATATGGTTTTAGGTTTGATTCAAGTCACGAAGAAAGTAGAGCAGAGATGTCGACATCAGCCATTGCGTAAAAATAAACATATAGTTTTAACGATCCTCCTTTCATAACCTTCAGTTTTTCTCTAAAACTATTTTTTTTTTTCAGGTTTAAACGTGGTGAGTCACATCACACCAGTGAAGGTGAAACTGAGGAGATAATTCAGGATCCATCACCTGCCGCGTAAGTATATATTTTTTTAATTTAAATAAAAAGTACCTTCATGTGATTATTTTACCAAAAGCAGAATGTTCTTTTAGATTTATGTCTTGTGGTGGTAGTGGTACCAGCACGCCTTCGAATAATACACCGAAGCACAAACGTTCGAGGATTGAGTCCACAAAGGAGATAATTCAGGTCCCATCACCTGCCATGTAAGTAACTATTTTTTTATTTAAATAACTAGCTTTCCGCCCGCGGCTTCGCCCGCGTGGAATTTTGTCTGTCACAGAAAAACAATATCGCGCGCGTATTTGCTCACCGTTTAGACCTACCCTGGACTACGACAAACATTTTAAAACCAAAATCAGCTCAATCGGCCCAGCCGTTCTCGAGTTTTAATCAGACTAACGAACATCAATTCATTTTTATTTATAAAGAAGATAGATAAGTACCTTCATGACGTGATCATTTTACCAAAAGCAGAATGTTCTTTTAGATTTATTTTATGTCTTGTAGTGGTACCAGTATGACTTCGAATAATACACCGAAGCAAAAACGTTCGAGGATCGAGTCCACAAAGCCGCTTACGGACCAGGATCTAAGTGATTGGCTTCACTATGGTAAGATTTTTTAATATCAATATTTATACGTGCCCGTAAATATTTCTCTCTGCATGTGTTGGCTAGGTTTAACTTTCGTTCGTGATGTTACTACAACTTTCACATTTACAGATTTTCCGTTTTTGGTTTAAGTATGGAAAGTTTAGATAACCCAAGATTTTTGTCTTAGGGAGCGAGGACGATAGTGACGACAGTGTGGAAGACAATCAGCCCCTATTAGGCGTCTGTTCTAGGGTGAAATTGGAAAGGGAGATGCTTGACATCGAAGACGAGGAGGAAGAGGAAGTGCCAAATGTGATTCGACCTGTCACCCCGTACGCTGTAGATCAGTTAAAGTACGAACCCTGTGAAGACGAAGACGAAGAGGAAGAAGCCAAACCAAATGTCATTCGACCCGCCTCCCCGATCACAGAAAATGAAATCGATCTCGAGCCCCGTGGTTTATTTGATTTTAAGTGGAAGCCCTTCTCTCAAGGAGAACACATACCTCCCAAGGAGCGGAGGGAGAAATTTACTGGCGAGTCACCTGGGCCCGTCCGAGAATTTCCGACTCCATATGACGCATTTACCGCCATATGGACTCGGGAATTCATGGAGGAGATAGCAGTCCAGACGAATTTTTATGCTCAGCAGGTTGCTGAAAGTCGCATGGCCCGTGACGACCTAATGCTGAACAGCAGAATCGCAAAGTGGGTGGACACTTCAGCTGATGAATTGTACACCTACTTTGCGATTATTTTGGCCACTGGTCTTTGCATCAAAACTGACCAAAAAGAGTATTTTGAGTCAAGCAATAAACAGGGCATCACAACAACACCATATTTTTCCAATTATATGAAGTACCATAGACTATTACTGTTAAATAAATTTATACATTTTGCTAATAACACTGAGAACCTGACAGGCCTAACGCGTCCCCAGGCAAAACTATTTAAGATAGAGCCAATAATTACCCACTTAAATAATAAATTCCAGGAGCTCTATCGTCTAGGGCAAAACATTGCTTTAGACGAATCTTTGACACAGTGGAAGGGACGGCTAAGCATTAAGCAATTTATTAAAAATAAAGTGGCTTCCACTGGAATTAAAAGTTATGAAGTTTGTGAAAGCCAAACTGGGTACCTGTATAGATTTAAAGTGCACGCGGGTCACGGTGAACAAAAACGACATGATGATAACCCTGTATCAGGTATAATTCCATCCCTTGTTCTTGAGCTAATAAAAGGGCTCGAGAATAAAGGACACACCTTGTGGATGGACAACTATTACAACAGTCCACCACTTGCCCGTGTCCTTAAATCTTTAGGGATCGATTGTGTTGGCACATTGCGGACAAACCGCAAATGTGTGCCTCAAGAATTGGCAAACCTGCAAAAAACGGACATGGCGAGGGGTCAAATCTCTGCTTTCACGAGTGGGGACATCGACATCTTGGTATGGCGGGATACCAATCGCGTAGCGATGATATCTACGTACCATGGTGTCGGCGTTCACACTGTGGAAGAAAAGACTAAGCCCACTGTAGTCTGCGACTACAACTTATTTATGGGAGGCGTCGACAAGAAGGACCAGATGCTGAGTACCTATCCTTTGGAAAGGAAGCGTACTAGCATTTGGTACAAAAAGTTTTTTCGGCGCCTCCTAAATGTAAGTGTACTAAATGCATATGTTCTGCACAAAAATAATACACAAGAGGGTGCTAATGTCTCGCACAGGTCTTTTCGTCAGAAATTGATTAAACAACTTCTGGAAAACCACTTCAAGGGACCTGAAATCAAAACGGCTGTTGTTTCATCCGACCTCGGAACACCTGTGCTTTCCCAGGAGGTGTTAAACCACTTCCCGATGGAGTACGGGATAGTTCCTGGTTGCGCCAAAAACAACCGTATCCGACGGACTTGTGTGGTTTGCCATAAGCGTCAATCATATTACTGTCCGGCCTGCGACAAGCCCCTCTGCATCACATGCACCAAATTATATCACAGTAGGCCTAGGAAATAAGGCATGCAAAAATTTCGGTTTAGTTTAGGTTTATTTTCATATTATACATTGTATGGCAAGCGACCGCGAATATACAGTTTTTTAAACACGTGTATTTGGGGTTTTCTCATTCTCGTTGATTAACTACTTTGGAAAATTACTCTGCCCTATACTACGTGTGTTTTGACACGCACTTGGCCAAATTTATTAAGTACTTTTTGTCGCATAACGAATAATTCGTTCGTTCGTCGTGAATGTGAATAATACATGCATTTTATCTATCTTCCTTCTTAAATAAATCGGTTGAAGAAAACTGATTCTTAGCAACATTTGACCCAAACATGCAAACATTGCAAAATTATTAAAAGCATGTAGGTAAAAGTCGTAGGTAAGTAATAAAGTAGTAGACGGCAGCAGTAGCTGCTCGCGCTAAATGCTGCCGTCTGATCCCAAGAGATTATCTCGTAGGGCTGCTTAATTTCATCCTAGACTGCATCCCACTTAACATCAGGTGCGATTGTGGTCAAATAACTGCCTTGTTATGCATAAAAAAAACTACATCTCAACCTCTAAATACACATTCTATTAAGCAACCACTACCTTTGCTTAGTTTGGGACTAGATGGCTCTGTGTAGTCCTGTGTCTTCTAGGTGGGCCCTAGGGAATATGCTCTCCGGCGGGCCCACTTTGAATTAATGTTTACAACAAAACTATAGATATTGTACATTTTTTTAAGTTAAGGCTATAATTATATACATTTTTTATACATTTCTTTCGTACCTATTCTATGTACAGTCGCGGAATGAAAAGGTTCGTCACCTTAGTGTCGGTTTTCGCTTGCACTAGGTACTGTAAGAGTCAAACCTGCCAACATACCAGTGCAAGAAACAGTGCTGCTAACATTTAAATAAATGTGACGTTTGCTAACGAAGAAGGTTTTGCTTATTTTTCTGTCCCATCAGTGCAATATTACAAAATGTATTTTTTTTATTTAATAGAAATAATAATGGCAGGTTGAACCAACAAGAAGGTTTTAGTTTATCAATCATAAAAATCTTCTTGACAAGATAAATGTCAAACAACTTTAATCGGAATAATTTTGAACTTTACTGACTAACAGTTAAAGATTATTTTGTCTAACTCGAGATTATTCTATAACATAGTTTCAAAAGGTAATATGTGCTCGCGATTCGTTGAAGGAATCAATTTGAAAACTGACGAACCTTTTCATTCCGCGACTGTACCTACGATAAGGTGGTCCCGCCCCAGAGCATGACACGGAATACCACTTTTTATTTAAAATGTTTATTATAGCCTGACCAGGAACATAAAAACCCTGGCATAGAGGCGCCTCAATTGCATTTGATAGTGCAACACTGAGTACAGTCGTACATGTGTTAAATTAATAGGCTAACTTTATGTATCAGGATTCAGGATTACGGGCTAATTTGATATTTTCATAAATTACCGAAAAAATATTATTAAAGGTAACCTGGTTTAAATAAATTAAATGAAACCATCAATCGAGCTAGTAGGATTTATTTTGTTATTCATCAATAATCAAATTCAGAACTTGAATATTCAACTGCAATGTCTGCTCATGAACGCTTCAAACTCGGTACCTACTTCTTTCCCAATTCCATAAAATTCAAAACTTAGAAAGTGACAAAAAACTTTAAAATAGGTAGTTGAAACAGACTACAGCTAATTTTCATAGTGGACTGTACTATACGATAAACATGTCAGTCAATTTGACAACCTTTGTCGGAAACATTATTCAATGAAAATATTGTCCGAACCGTTAGTATTTCTCTTCGACAAATACATTAACACATTGTGAACCACTTTTCTTTCACGACTATAAAAATATTTTAGCAATTTAATTCACAAAATCAATTGCACACATTTAAAATAAAGTTTGTTTACACTTTGACAACAATAGACTGACATGCAAGGTGACATGTCAATGAAGTTTTCAGTTACTGTTGCCATTAAAAGAAATTAGTACCATTAGTTTTCCGCAACATGGCGAGGGTTTTTATGTTCCTGGTCAGGCTATAATGAAAATACTCTGAAATTCACATTCCTGCCAAATAATATAAAATAGGTATTCCGCGGAGGCGTATCCATACTTACCTAGCTTTCGTGATTTGGCTTTGTGTATGGCAGATTGTGTACTTTTTAACTCGTGATATTTTTCATTTTATTTATCACTGTCAAAAACTATCACTGTTTACGGAAAGGACATTTAATCTTGTGTTTGCTACAATAATCATATTTTTAAACAAATATGTAACCCCTTTAGACGATTTTGTAGGGCACTCATTTCGAGTTTCAGATTTATGTGTGGGTTTATACCAACTTGCACAATGTTGCTCATTAATACTTGAACTGTGGTTTATAGTTAGTTCGTACATATAACTAATAAATTATGATCAGTTTTTAAACAAATGACGCAGTAGAAGCGAGGTATGGAACGTTAAGTGAAGAGTGTTTTTGGTTTAAGTTAGTAGTCTTTTTGGGTAATGATAAAGATGGATGTATTTTGTTGTTTAAATGCTTTGGAAATGTATTTTTGTTTATAATAAACGTGTATAATGTAATTAACTTTGTAAATAAATGTTACTATGTCACATTACTCTTTTAATTTTAATTCAAGTTCAATCACAAAAAGTAACAAAAATGAAAAAAAAAAATTCTTTCAAGTAAGCTTAGTACCAAAAATATACAGGGTGTCCCGTAATGCAACGTCAAGCCGGAACTGGGTGTTGAGGCAAGTTTAAATTTTTATGTTGAAAATTTTTTTTGGGAATAATGTATTTTTTTCATCCAAGCTGGAGCAGCTGGTTTTGTAATTTTGATAACAATTTAGAGAAACATTATTCAGGGTTACATAACAAAAAAAAAAATTTGGAAAAGGTGAAGATTTGTGGCAACACGAGTAAAAAGACCGTCACCGGGAGTAGAATTTTTTTTAAATGCCTGTTATTTTGACAAAATACCACATAGATTTCTTTTTATATTTTTCTGATAACCAGCATAACTTGCCTCAACACCCAGTTCCGGCTTGACGTTGCATTACAGGACACCCTGTATATGTATTTGAGAGCCTTAAAAGTTACACCACTAGATGGGAAAAATATTATCCAGATTCCAAAAATGAGACTTGATAAAGGTTTAGTATGTAATGGTAATAATGATAAGCTATTTTAGGGAAAGACTGCGCTTAGGTATTTTTATGCCGCGCGAGCGGGAAGTGCCCGAGCACTTGTCGACCAAACGCCCTCGCGCCGAAAAGCGCTTGACTCTACTTTTCAAACTTACACTATTTAGTTTAGATTTCATTTAGCCAGAGTTTTAGGTCATTTTAAGTCAAGGGCAACTAGGTACCTGTGTTTTCACAAAGGGAGTAATTTTAGCAATCTTAAACAATTAAATGACTGCAAAGCAATATCTCCAATGATAACAAATGCGTCTGCTATTAGCCACACACTATCTTATCTCAAGGTTCAGAAACAATGAAAAACCGGCCAAGTGCGAGTCGGACTCGCGCACCGAGGGTTCCGTACAAACCTGCAAGGTTTACAAAGTTCGTTCATTACGACAATCGAGTCATAAAACTATGGTATTTTTACTGCAAAATGAAATTCATAACATTACAATGGGGAAAGATGGAGGACCATAAATTTAAGACAAAGATCTCTTTATCGTTTAAGTAATCCTTTATTTTATAGTATTTGATATGAATTTCAACTTGATAGCTCTACGCGTTCATGAGGAAAAAATTAATAAGTTTATATTTATTAAAAAACTAGCTTTCCGCCCGCGGCTTCGCCCGCGTGGAATTTTGTCTGTCACAGAAAAACTTTATTATCGCGCGCGTCCCTGTTTCAAAAACCGGGATAAAAACTATCCTATGTTCTTTCCCGGGACTCAAACTATCTCTATGCCAAATTTCATCAAAATCGGTTGCGAGGTTTAAGCGGGAAAGCGTAACAGACAGACAGACAGACAGACAGACAGACAGACAGAGTTACTTTCGCATTTATAATATTAGTTGGTTAAAATTTAAGGTTTTCGGAATTTTTCCTTTATGTGTGCTATAAAACGTTGCTTCATGCCAAATTTCGAGATTCTAGGTCGACTGGAAGTACCCTTTAGGTTTTGATTCCCTTGCGAGTACTTGCGAGTTTCAAAATATGCAGCTTAAATTGCTGTTTCTTTTGATTGCGTTGACATAGTAGTTTCTAGTTGACATGTCTTCTCTAGTACGTAGTACATTATAACTCAATGCATGAACCCTGAACGAACGTGCACTGTAGGCACTCTACACCGACGGCACATTGGACTGGACACATTGAATTGTGTACATTATGTAAATCTTGTATATAGCAATAGCATAACAGTAATAAACCAGCCCCCTTAGACAAAACGCACTTTTTGATCGAATCGAAAATCGAATCCGTCAAATCTCCATACAAAAAAGGGGCTTTTCGACCACTTTTCCACTGGTTTGCGATTATAATTTGCACTTTGTCTAGACCCACAGATAATCAACCGTCCGCGTTGTGTTTCATTTCCCCCACTGAGGCCAAGAAAGCCTTAGTGCAGTCTTCCTTCCTATCAAACCTTTCTTTAAATCTAATTAAAAGGTGTTGTTAGGGCTCTAGGGACTACAAACGAAGCCAGACATATAGCTTGGTTATGAGTAACCAATACCTACTACCTATACCGCATGTAATCCTGTCTCATTCTATAATATGGCCGCCTGAATAAACTTGAGTGAAAAAGTGTTTCCACTGTCTCAATTACATCAAAAGCTCCAAACAAATCATTTAATTCAGTTCAAATTCAGTTTCCATTTTGCCGACTAAGCGTGATTGACAATATGCGTGACAGTTGTGGTGACAGTGACAACCTGCACGCGCAGTGATCGCCATCGCGGTCGCGGCAGTGTGAAACAACTTTTGCACGCGCAGTGGTCGCCATCGCCATCGCCATCGCTGCACGCGTTGGTTTGTCCGAACCTTTAGCTGACCACCACTTGTAAGGATCAGCTTTCCGATCTAGTCGATATGATTTCAAATAAAAATCCATCTCATTTGCCACAGTATTCTTCTCCACGTTCTCCTCATCATTACTATTTTGCATATTATCTTTAGCGACTTCCTCAAAGCAGTTCCAGAAACTGTCGGTGTATGTATTTCAAATGACTTATCATTTTCGTTCAAGTTTCTTCTCTTACGACGTGGAGAAGAATCGTCATCGGTACTACTAGACTCATCATCATTACAACTTAGTTTCAGAGCTACTACACAGCAAACAATTGGCCAGTTTATTATTTTCACTACAAATCTCATAATATTCCCATATGGCCGATTTTTTATTAATTGGTGACATTTTTTAATGAACAAACAATTGAAAAAGAACTAACGAACAAACTTTTCAGCAAAATCGTAACGTTTTAATAAATTTTAATTTATATTAATCTGACAATGCGTGCCGTGACGTGATTTACTCGCAATGAGGGTTTTCGCGATGGAAAAATCCGCCAGATGGCAATACGTAGACGCGAGGTCCAAATGCTGCATGATTGGTTATTTTTGACATGACATTGACAGATATGTCAAAATCCACCAATCATGCAGCATTTGGACCTCCCGTCTACGTATTGCCATCTGGCGGATTTTTCAATCGCGAAAACCCTCATTGGATGAAACAGTCAAATAGCCTCACACCGCCCGCGCGCGATGGAGACAGGTCGCAACCTGTCGTATTATTATTTAC